CAATGTCAGTTATCTAGAAGAGGCTGTTTTTTAAAGCTATTCCTGGGTTGTGGACTTATCATGTCAAACTGGTAATGACATCCAGCAATCTAGATGAGATGCTGCATGGTGGATGATGCTTTACAAGATGATCATGATCGATATTGTTCAAAACACTGACTTATTTGCTGCTGCTGCTGTTGTTATATAGGACAGGATAATGGATACAAGGCACGTGGAGCATCACTCTCAGCTGGTTGGCTTTCCTAAAGCATTTGTTAGTGTCCTTGTTCCCCAAAATTTTTCCAAATCAAATGGTTGAAAATTACTGTCTATACTACGCTTCCTGGGCTCTTTATCAAGGTAAGTCTCATAACCTGAATCTGCATCTTTTCCCTTTATTTGACAGTCTTGTACTTTCTTCCACTCTCTGCTCAATAAAGTAGCCATTTCCATATGATTTTCATGCAGGGTCGGGTCTTGGTTTATAGAGGGCTGCTGCCTTTGTTTAGTTGTTCTCCTACTCTGCTGCTGTTGAAATGTTGGTTTTGGTTGCTGGTGACTCATCTCTGCAAATTGTTCGTCGTTTCCTTCGGCTCTGTTAAAAGATTTCGCTGAAATTGGTGTTTTATCTCGGGTCTCGACGTAACTTTCAAGATCAAATGGTCTTGAAGGCCCTCTGCGAACGCTCGCAACAATTTGGCTTGGTGCTTTAGGTTTTGTCAGCGTGTACANTCTGCTCAATAAAGTAGCCATTTCCATATGATTTTCATGCAGGGTCGGGTCTTGGTTTATAGAGGGCTGCTGCCTTTGTTTAGTTGTTCTCCTACTCTGCTGCTGTTGAAATGTTGGTTTTGGTTGCTGGTGACTCATCTCTGCAAATTGTTCGTCGTTTCCTTCGGCTCTGTTAAAAGATTTCGCTGAAATTGGTGTTTTATCTCGGGTCTCGACGTAACTTTCAAGATCAAATGGTCTTGAAGGCCCTCTGCGAACGCTCGCAACAATTTGGCTTGGTGCTTTAGGTTTTGTCAGCGTGTACATTCTATGGTGTGTTTACAGTCCCCTGTTTCGTGTTTGAGTTGTCATTGAAGATCTAGGCGTGTAGCTGTGTAGTTGTGTTTGGTCTCTTGTGTCACATTTTTTTCTAAAGTAAACCTAGAATTCACCCCCCCCCCATCTTTTTTTAATTAAACGTGAAAAAAGGATATGAGGAGTGTAACGTGCTCAAACGAATGTGTGTGAACTAACTAATGTATGGTGCGCATGAACTAATGCATGGTGCGCATGAACTAATGTATGGTGTGCATGAACTAATGCATGGTGCGCATAAACTCATGCATGGTGCGCATGAACTAATGTATGGTGTGCATGAACTAATGCATGGTGCGCATGAACTAATGTATTGTGTGCATGAACTAATGCATGGTGCGCATGAACTAATGTATTGTGTGCATGAACTAATGCATGGTGTGCATGAACTAATGTATTGTGTGCATGAACTAATGCATGGTGCGCATGAACTAATGCATGGTGCGCATGAACTAATGTATGGTGCGCATGAACTAATGCATGGTGTGCATGAACTAATGCATGGTGTGCATGAACTAATGCATGGTGCGCATGAACTAATGTATGGTGCGCATGAACTAATGCATGGTGCGCATGAACTAATGCATGGTGCGCATGAACTAATGCATGGTGCGCATGAACTAATGCATGGTGCGCATGAACTAATGTATGGTGTGCATGAACTAATGCATGGTGCGCATGAACTAATGCATGGTGCGCATGAACTAATGCATGGTGTGCATGAACTAATGCATGGTGTGCATGAACTAATGTATTGTGTGCATGAACTAATGCATGGTGCGCATGAACTAATGCATGGTGCGCATGAACTAATGCATGGTGCGCATGAACTAATGTATGGTGTGCATGAACTAATGCATGGTGCGCATGAACTAATGCATGGTGTGCATGAACTAATGCATGGTGCGCATGAACTAATGCATGGTGCGCATGAACTAATGTATGGTGTGCATGAACTAATGCATGGTGCGCATGAACTAATGCATGGTGCGCATGAACTAATGTATGGTGTGCATGAACTAATGCATGGTGCGCATGAACTAATGCATGGTGTGCATGAACTAATGCATGGTGCGCATGTATTGCGAAGCGGATGAAGAGGAGGAACATACAAAAGCTCTATTCTTATCTTTTCCTACACATCCTATAGGAACAGCGCTTATTGATTATTTACAACGGTATATAGTGGTACCTCGACATACGAGTGCCCTAACATACGAGATTTTAGAGATACGAGCCGTCGAGCGAGCGATGCTTTGCTTTGACATACGAGAAACATTTGAGATACGAGGAACCGGATCAGCGGGTCGGAACACCCCCCGAAAAAGTTGCAACTGATCGTGCATCGGAGCTATTTAATGACACTTGCCTAACTCATGCATCGGAGCTATTTACTGACACTTGCCTAACACATGCATCGGAACTATTTAATGACACTTGCCTAACACATGCATCGGAGCTATTTAATGACACTTGACTAACACATGCATCGGAGCTATTTAATGACACTTGCCTAGCTCATGCATCGTAGCTATTTAATGACACTTGCCTAACTCATGCATCGGAGCTATTTAATGACACTTGCCTAACTCATTGTTGCAACATTCTGAAAGGGAGGAAGAAACAAACCTCCTTGAACAGGTTTTTTTTACACGGCCTGCAGGTGAAGGTGAGGAAAGCGTGGCGAAAAAGGCAAAGACCGGTGAAGAGAAAAGCAATGACGAAAGTTAAGCGAAAGTAACTAAAAATTGGTACAGTAGCATTTAAGTTCAATTAAGTTTGGTGAAGTTTAGTTAAGTTCCATTAATTTTAGGGATAAAGTGTAGCATTAAGAGTGTAACGAGTAAGTGAATTGAGTGACCAAAAGAGTTAAGCATTAACAGTGTAGCCAGTAATTGAACGAAGTGAAGCTCCTTCGCCTATCTCCTGCACCCTACACCCCCGCCAGCATCTTCTGTAAGCTCAAGTCGGCTGATTTCCAAGGAGAATACACTTTATAAAACCAGTTTATTTCTTTACAGTCTCTTTTACTACGTTTTTATACAATATTTATCATTTATAAATACATTTTTCTTATTTAAAAAAAAAAACAACAACACGTAACAAAAACACAAGTGAAGGTTTGAACATAGATCAAGAAAAAGAGGAAATGAAGAAACCAAAGAACGGTGAGGAGGTAAGAAGTTCCGATGGTTTTGTGTATTATCTTTCAAAGCTTCTTTTCAGACGATCTGACATCACTGAGCCTGTTCGCCAGCTACTACGTCTAAAAAGCATGACACTGCATTCTGTCGAGTGCAGTTCTTGGTGACAAAATCTCATGTGTCATTCTATGATGAGCAGTCCATGGTAGCCAAAACTACTGTGCTGGCATTATATGATGTGCAGTCCATGGTGGTCAAACTACTGTGCTGGCATTCTATGATGTGCAGTCCATGGTGGCCAAAACTGCCGTGTTTCGCATTATATAATCCAGCAAGAGACGTGACGATGGAATGTGATTCTAGCCAAAAGAGACTTGGTGTTGAACGTATGCAGAACAAATAAGCCTATAACTATGCTGGTCGATCCAGAACAAATAAGCCTATATAACTATGCTGGTCGATCTCTGACTGGTACTGAAACCAGATACGCACAAATTGAAAAAGATGTATTAGCCATTTTGTTTCATCATCATCAGTGGCGCTACAGCCCATGCAGGGCTCCGTCCTGCTCCACCACATCCTTCCATTCGGAACAATCCATGGCTTAATCTTCCTCCATGCGCGAGGCCACATCTGGCGCAAATCATTTCTCTACATCGTCGATCCATCTCAGCCTAGGGCGAACGGTGAGTCGTCTGTCCTTAAGTCTCTGCCTGTGTATTATATGTCCTGCCTAGTGCAGTCTGCCTTTTTTTCTGTTGCGACTATGGGGGCGGGGGATCTTTGTACAATTGGTATAGCTCTTGGTTGTACAGATTCTCCGGATATCATTTTCCATCACTGGGCCGTATATTTTTCTGAGGATTTTCCTCTCCCATGTATTGAGAAGGTTCTCTGCTTTTCCGGTAAGTTTCAAAGTCTCACTTGCGTAAGTTACTACTGGTCTTATGCAGGGGTGGACTGGGGAGTTCAAGCGTCCCGGGAAAAAAATCAAAGCGCCCCGGGAAAAAAACAAAAAAGCGACCCTATCTTCATGACTTTTATTTTTATTATATCACCGGTCCTAGCGGCCCATCGGGAATCTTCCCGTGGTCATGGCGGCCCAGTCCACCCCTGGTCTTATGACTTATGATAGTGGCGTATATTGTCTTCTTTGTTCCACTTGAGAGGTTTTTGCTTCCCATTAGCTTTTGTAGGCTGAAATAGGAACGGTTGCCTGCTGTTATCCTTTCTTTCACCTCTGACATTATTTCATTGTGCTCGTTTATAGTTTCCCCTAGATATTTGAATGTAGCCACTCTCTCAAATGTGTGTTTGTTTATATCGATGATGTCATCAGCGTGGGAGCTTCGTGACATTATCATATATTTTGTCTTCAGTTCATTTACCTCACAAGTGTCAAACTCAAAACCTCTTTCTGTTTTCATTTATATAAATAAAAAAAAAAAAGATTTAAAAAAAAGATCATTTTTCCACTTACTGAATGTTTATCCTGTTCGGCCCGCAACCTTACATGTGATTTGAGTTTTGGCCCGCCAAGCGATTGAGTTTTACACCCCTGATTTACATCAAGACCAGCTTTGACTGAGGCATTTTCAAGTTCCCTGATTGCTTTAATTATGTCATTTCTGTTTCTACCCAGTAGCACTATATCGTCTGCATATGCCAGGTACTGCGATGGCTGGTTATATAAGGTTCCTGATGGAGCCATTTTGTTTGCTCTGGATAAGCTCACCAAAATAACTTTGGACGGCACACTACGGTTGAGAGTGATCATTAGCCTCCGGAAGCAATCATGGTAAAGCCTCCAGAAGCAATCGTGGCAAAGTTTCTGGAAGAAATCATGGCAAAGCCTCTGGGAGCAATCATGGCAAAGTCTCTGGAAGCAATCATGGCAAAGCCTCTGGAAGCAATCATGGCAAAGCCTCTGGAACCAATCATGGCAAAGTTTCTGGAAGCAATCATGGCAAAGCCTCTGGAAGCAATCATGGCAAAGCCTCTGGAAGCAATAATGGCAAAGCCTCTGGAAGCAATCATGGCAAAGCCTCTAAAAGCAATCATGGCAAAGCCTCCGGAAGCAATCATGGCAAAGCCTCTGGAAGCAATCATGGCGAAGCCTCTCTTGGCTGCTCCTTGTTGACTTCAAGGATTGATGTTTAGAATACCGGTACAAGACTTTGATATAAATAAGGAAGTATAACTTGCTGATTCACTCTCTCAAGAGCCTACTTTAATCATCTGAGAGCAACCAAGGTGAATTTGAACATATAAATATGGCCAGTTTCCTCTCTATTTGTGCAGAAAGGCAAAGTGGACCGAAAGAAGAAACTGAAAAAGAAAACACTCTTCAAAAGCTTAACACTTGAATTACTTTCCTGAGGACAAGCTTCTATTACATGATGCACTAGCATCCTATTACAGTTTCCGAGATGAAATGGCCGTTGAGGATGGTCTGGTTTTCGAAGGTGAAAGTGTAGTAGTGCCTATGTCATTGAGATCAGAGATGAAGAAGGCTGTCCATTCAACACACATAGAAATCAAAAGATGTCTCAAAAGGGCATGTTAAAGTCCATTCTGGCCAGGAATGGCTGGTGAAATCAAACATTTCACTTCAGCGTGTGATATATGTCAAGCCTTTCAACCTGACCAACAGTAAGAGAATCTCATGAGCCATCAGATCCCAAAACACCTATGGGAAAAAGTTGGTGTAGACGTTTATGAACTAAACGGGAAAGACTGCCTAGTCTGTGAGGACTATTTCAATATTTTTTTCAGAGGTTGGTAGCATAGAAAACACAAGAACGGAAACTAAAGGCAGAGTCTGCAAGACATGGCATTTCTTGCACAGTCTGCAAGACATGACATTTATTGCACAGTCTTCAAGACATGGCATTCCTTTCACAGTCTGCAAGACATGACATTCCTTGCACAGTTTGCAAGACATGACATTCCTTGCACAGTATGCAAGACATGGCATTCCTTGCACAGTCTGCAAGACATGGCATTCCTTGCACAGTCTGCAAGACATGGCATTCCTTGCACAGTCTGCAAGACATGGCATTTATTGCACAGTCTGCAAGATATGGCATTCCTTTCACAGTCTGCAAGACGTGACATTCCTTTCACAGTCTTCAAGACGTGGTATTCCTTGCACAGTCTGCAAGACATGGCATTCCTTTCACAGTCTGCAAGACGTGGCATTCCTTGCACAGTCTGCAAGACATGGCATTCCTTGAACAGTTATTACTGACAATGGTTCGCAATTCTCATCAGACACCTTTGCGAACTTTGACCAAGACTTGGATTTTTATCACTATAGTCAACGCTACCCAAGATCCAGTGGCAAAGCAGGATCTTCAGTGAAGATAAACCCCCCAAAAAACTATTAATAAAGAATTAAGATTATCAGTTCTTAGCTTTACTAAATCACCGCAGCCCCCCTAATCGAACGGCTACTAGCCAGCACAATCATTTTTCAATAGAAGAACCATAACCCTGCTACAAGTAGCCCAAAATCTGTCAAAAGCACACGTGTCTAATCCTGAGAAACACAGATCAATACTTAGAAAAAGACCAGAGGAAATCAGCAACACATTACAATACACATGCTAAAGACTTATCACCCCTTGAATAGGATGATGTGGTGAGACTTAAAGCATACTCTCTAGTCAACTCTAGTCTCTAGGCAATAAGAGATTGGAATAGGAAGTTGAAACAAAACAACATGATGAACGATCATATGAAGTTGTATCAGGTGGGCATTTTATCATTAAGTAAAACCCTGTATTAATTGCATTTTAAGATCTAGGCATGAAGCTGTGTAGTTGTGTTATTGAGTGGTCATTAAAAAGCTCTAGGCTTGAAGCTGTGCAGTTTTGTTAGCATTTGTGTGTGACTTTGTGTTTTTTATAATCTAATATCACTAAATATAATACCACTATTTTAATGAATAAAATTATACTATCAGTGAAACTTTTGAAAGCTTTAAAAAAATTATAAACATACATTATAATTAAAAGTCAGTCGTCTTGCATTTATGCGGCCTAGTTTTATTACTTTTAAGGAAAAACAAAGAAAACAGCCAGAGAAAAGGAAGGCATAATATTTTGTTCATGCATACAAATAAAGAAATATAAGAAGTTTTTATGACAATAAAATATTTAAATTTTTTTGCCTTTTTATTTTTCAGAACAATTAATGGAGCTCAGACAAGCGGCAAAAATATGGGAGGAAAAACCTGCTCCAAGCTCCAGTTCTGCAACAAAGCCTTACTCTTTTTGCTTATACTGCATTATTAAACACTCAAGACATTCAGAAGTCGACTGAATTATCATCTCTTCACATTGACGTATATGCCCATTTATAGCGACATATAGAATTGCTGAAGTTTGGTTACTCATAAATACAAAAAATTTTGTTTGCTCGTAGTCATAGGTACTGGAAAGATAGTTTGCTCATAAGTAGGCCTACTGAAAAGTTTGCTTGTTTATAGTTATAGGAAGCAAGGTTTTGACAAGATTTGCGACAATTTAAAACGTTTTAACAATTTAAATTGTTCCTTGTTCAACATCAGCACATGCTCATTGAGATCCAGGGGCTCTTTGGGCTTGCACATTTCCTTTGATAAATGTCTCAAAAGAACCTCTGTGTGAATGGTTTTTTCTGATAAACCTCAATGATGTGAATCTTTTTGAGCACATAAAGAAAGTCTTTAGCCTTCAACTATAATTTAAAAATCAGATATCCATTACCAGTAAAGAATGCTTTTCTTCAGTTCACAGCTAAAATGAAATAAACTGAGCTAAATTGTTTTCTAACTATGGTCCAGAAGGTTATATAACATTTGAATGAAAATAAAACACACTAACTCGCCCTCTTAAGAAGGTCTCAGATTTTTAAAATTATATTATTAAGATATATAAAGGCAATATAAAATCAAAAGTATTGTAGTTTTATCCATGAGCATTTACAGCCCTCTGAAGTTTTCTTATAGTTAAAAGGAGGCCATAATTCAAAAGTGAATCCAATATTGACAGTATCTTGAAACTACAGGCTTCGAAAAGAGCCTAATAATAATAATAATGCTAGTAGTGGTGTATAAAAAGTTTAATGCAGTGACATGTCCTTATCTTATAAAATAATTAGAAATTAGGCTTAAGAGAAAGGATGTATCATTTTCTCCCATTATATATTTTTCATTGATAAATATATTAGATGAATAGGCCTTTAGATATGGCCTACACCACACATATTTTTTAAATGCATTTCCTTGCACATCAATTATTTTAGATTGGCTCTGTATAATCCCTAAATGTTTCATGCGATATGTTAATATATGGCTGGTAAGAGGTCTTTTTAAGACATAAAACTGAAAAATAATATAAATTATATTTAAAAATTTTACTTGTGAAAGATATATTCAATCAATAAATAATCCAAATTTCTAGCTTATGGGCGAGGTAGGTGCTCATAATATCCTCTATCCTATTTGATATTGCAGCACAAATAATTATAATTTATTTATAGGAAAGAGGTAAAATTGTGTATTACTTAAAACATTTTTTTAAATTATTATTTTTTAACTATTTGTCTCAAAACTTAAATCAAATTTGAATAAAATCCTGTTGCTACAACTATTTATGCAATAAGAAAATAAAGGAATTATTTAAATCAATATCTTATTTCATAAAAAAACAACATACTTTCAAATAAATTAACACATTAGTTACAGACATCCATACTCTCAAAAAAATGAACTATTGGGCGAATTAATTTAAAATATATTTTATAAATAGTGCATCAATTTTATTGATATCAAACAAATAGAAAGACTTGTACTTACACACATAACTTAACTAGTATTTTTGTTTTCAAACGGCTAAAAATGAGTTAGCTTTAGCATAAAACGTAATATTTTAAAGAATTCCTACTTTGAACAAACTGATTAATTAATGTAAAAGCTTATGGTAGACTAAAATAAAATTGTATATATTAAATGATGCATTGTATAGTGTTTAAGAATTTAAAGTTTAAAAAGGAATTTTATAATTCTTTATAAAATTAAGCTGCATAAATTGACTGTGTAACAATAATTACCATTATTTTATTAAGTCTTTCACAGATAAACCAAACACCCATACGTTTTATTATTAATATGTTCATAAATCTGATATATATGGCAATGACAAAATATTTACAAAATTTTAAACATGATAATTTCTTTTACTACTGTCAATGATAGATGTGCTTGTTGAAATTATTTATGCCAATTCCACAATGGGATTCCTAACTTTGGGTTTGTTGGGGTTGTTCTCCAAAAGCCAGTCAGCTAACCAGAGCTTGTTGGAAAGAAAATGATAAAATTTAAATAGCTGTTTACTATTTTTTTATTATCAGTCTGCAAAAAATGTTTTTGGATTAATGTATCTATGTGTGAACATAATTTACATATGTTGCTTAAACAAAAATAATTGAGGTATTAATTGTCTTTATCATTTTGTCTTTTTGAGATCATTACAACATCAGAGGAAGATGGAAACTGATGCCTTAAATGACATTTAATAGTGTATGTCACTTAAATGAAAAGTAAAGCAAACAAAAATAAATAGTAACTGAAAATTATGTAGCTAGAATATAGACAATTGATTTGACATAAAATGCCAATTATATTGGATTGGAGAAAATTTTACCTAACTTTAAAAGATAAATATTTCAGTAAAAGAATACTTACCACTGGGTCCTCTGGTTTCTTTTTAGCTAAATCTGTCAAACCTTTAAGTAGAGTTGGGTTAACAACTTTCGAGAGATAATCTTTTGCAGCCTGACCAGTTGCCACAGGCTCCACAATACCTACACAAAAACAAGCAAACAACAATATAAGTTCAGCTTCAAAAAACATATGTTTACTTAAAATTTAAATAATATAGGCCCAACCACTGTACATTTTTTTTTTAATAATATTTTTTTGTTTTCCGCTTTTGTACTGATGAAGGCATTTGCTGAAATAATTGCATTTGTATTCTGTATGATCATTATTAAAGCTGCACCTATATTGTTTTATTTACACAAATTTTTTGAGTCTAATTAATCTACATGAAAGCTTCATCACAGTCCAACACTCTTATAATTAGTTAATAATTCCTTTTTACTGAGATGTTAATTAACATATGCTTTAACATAAGAGTGCTTTATTCAGTTTAATTTCTAAAAATAAACTGTTTGCAAATCAATTATTTAAATGTTTTTTTTTTTCAATTTTTAATTCCAATGCATTATTTGTCAATTTTGAAACACAAAACATAATAGACAATACACCTGGGAAGCAAAGTGGTGATTTTTATTAAATTTCAGGTTAAATTAGCCTTACATTTTTGAACTTGATAGTTAATGTCATATTTACACAGCAAGTAACACAATAAGTATTCATTTAAAAATTACTAAATTTGTAAGAAAGCTTCTCTTTTAATTCTGGAGTAGTTGGGCCCCCAAACAAAGCACTTGGAAACATCTGTTAAAAAATGGACACCGTTTATTGACACCGATTAAGATAAAATAAGATTCAATTTCATCCTTTTTAAGTTGAATTGAACTATACAACTAGGCTAATATAAAACAGATAACAGAAATAAAAAATGATTATCATTGTACATGAAAATTATTTGACTTACTGTCAGGAAAGAAAAACCTAATTTCACGCTGGGCACTGCTGAAGCTATCACTACCATGAAGGGCATTTCTCTGATCGTCCGTACCATACACGGCCCGTAAACTGAAAAAGAAAATGTTAATATTTTTGTTAACCCAATTTATATCTCAGATATAAGTATTAAATTATCCCTAAATTATTTTAGTATGTATTTTTTCCAATTTCCATTAACCAGTAAGAGGAAAATCTTGACAGAAGGAATAATATTTAGCATTGAGGTACAGCTTTTAACTGATTTTTCTCCTTGATTCAAATGGGCAGCTTCTGGGCACATACATTTACTGAATTAAACAGAACATGCATGTTGATGGTTTGGGGTTTAAATATACTCAGTGTGAACTCCTATAAAAGTGTACGATTAACTTGATTTAGGTGGTACCGAGCCTCTTGATGGAAAAAATGTTTATTCCCTTAATTAGATAGATATACCAGAAAAATATGAATGAGAGCAAATAAAAAATTTGTAAAAAAATCAACAAGTTGCAATCTTTCTATTTTTTGCTCTAATTGGTCATATCAGTATATTGCAGGAAATATTTAATCTATTCGAAATATATCTTCAAAAAACATCTTTCTCAAATTCAATTTTAAATAGTTTTTCTCATGCACTCTCAAAAATATATCTAGTAACTCAAAAAATGATCCTATATTGTATTGTCATCATACACAAACGCATTTATATGATTTCTAATTTCCATTTCTTATTATGATTTTATCTCAGAAGCATACAGTTAACAGAAAATGACACAATGACAAGCGTTTAAAAAATGTACAAATAATCCTGTTTGTACTTTTATTTATGTTGATTTTTTCAGGTATTCAATCAAGTTCCAAAATTAAGTTAAGTTATAGATAATTCAAAATGGTTAAGCAAAATATCTGTTGAGTACATGTTGGAATTATAGAAAATAAATTATTTCAAAATTAATTTCTTTTCTTTATTTGAATTTGCTATTAAAAAATTATATAGGTATATCTTAATATGTTTCATCTTGAATTGCATCATTGACTAAACAGAACAACACTATTTAATGGTATAAAACCTTGCTTAAACAACTTTAAATATACAAATTAATTACTATAGCCTGATTTGCGCTCTGTGAAGCAATGGCATTATTGTTTTATCATGACCTGGTGTTAGCTGGTTTGAATTTACATGAGGTCATCTTAATATCCATCTAGATATAATTTAAGTTAGTAGAATATTAATTTATTATAGCTTCTCTTTAACTTTCCCATAATTTTAATTAATAAAATTATATTTAGGCCTACCATTCTGGATGTGTTTGTTTTGCCTTAAGTGTATTGGTTGGACCAATCAGCTCTCGCCAATATGAGATTGCATGCTCTCTTGCAATCATAAGTGTGATGATTGGTCCACTGCTCATATAAGCTACAAGACTTGGAAAAAACAACTTTCCATAATGCTCTGCGTAGAAATCACTAGCCTGTTCTGGAGTAAGGTGGACCCTTCTTTTCTGGAATCGACATGTTTTTTATTTAGTAGCTGGAGATCTCTGTGATATATGTTGGCATTTTAAAAATTTTATAAGGAATGCAAAACTTGTACCATCCAGTAAAAACCATAAATACAAAGTAAAGTTCTTGTAGTTTTGAGGATTAGAAGTAGAAGGATCCTTCAGAAAAAATACATATACCTGCATTGAATAATGATAATTACACTCTCCAACATGCTGACGTAAAAAATAAAACACCTTGACATACAAATTTTATTCATCAAATCTAAAATACAAATTTGTAGTTGAGCTGCTATAAGAAAACCACATTTTTACCCTCTAATGAGACTAATGCCTATAATTTTAAAAACTATTCATTTAATTTATAATTGTTCCTCATTTGTTCCTTTCTTATCTTTGATTGTCATGAAACAAAAGGGGTGCAAATGTTGTCAAAGACATCCTTTTTAATTTTGAATACTGGATACTGATGTATTCTTAAATACAAATTTTAAAACCATTTTTTAAATCTTGTTGGTGGAATTTTAACTTTTGGTGTTGACTGAAATTAGCTCAATTTAAAATGGTTTAAATCTCAAACTGTCTTATTTATTGAATTGCGAGTGTTCAATTTCATCCTAAAATTTAGTAAATAATAGTGTCAATTTACTTCTGGCCTTTTCTAAGTTTCACAGGTCATATTCCTAATTATGGGCATGAAAAATAATAAGTATAACCCTATACTGAAAATTTAGATAGGCAGGGCTTTCATTTTAATTTAAACTTTCAAAAAATTAATTACTTAATTTAAGCAAGTTTAAGTTATACTGACTTAAATACTTTCTTAAGTCTAAGTCTAAGTACTTAAGTTAATTTAAGGAAGTGTCTATTGGTACTAATTTAAGCAGGCCAAAACTATGTTTCCACTAAGTCCAAACTAAGTGAATCCTAGCCTAATGACTAGGCAATAATTTCAAAAAATTAATTTTAGAAAAGTAGCTCACATGCAGTTAATACTTAAACAATTTTAGACGTTTCTGTTACCTGTAGCACAGCAAAACCAGACCTGAGTATAATATCTTCTATTTCATCAGCTTTATGGAGTGCGTCTGGTTTAATTATCGCTAGTGTCCTCTCCACATATATGTGTGGCGCCTCCATTGTTACTTGCTCATCAGCCCCGCCCGTCATTTTTGGTAAATGAGACGTAAAATCACTTACTAAAACTCTTTCTTACAACTTTTATTTAAGACAGCGGGCTTTCTGTTGCTTAGGGACGTTGTAATGGTCACGCGTGATCTCTACTGAGATCTCGCAAAATTCACAGCAACGAATTTGTTTAAAAGATGGCGGCTAGGACTGCAGACAACTCTGAACACGAAATCTGAAGTACGCCATTGCATGTTGAATGAATATATTCTCTAGCAGTTTGTAAAATATTTAACAAATAGCTAACAAATCATGTTATGCATAAGGGAATATTCTAGATGGCTTAAACATTAAAATAATCCTTCAGACACATGACATGTAACCACATGCCTCCTCATCATTCTTCCGTCAGTAGGCTATTAAATTTTTACTTCAGTGATCCAGTCCAAACTCCTAAGTGATAAAAATAAAAGTTAATGTATCATAAAATAAAAGACATGACAAAAAGTAACTTGTTATCTTATTTCAAGCTTCCACATACCTCGTTTCGCTATTTCATTCATTTGTAAGATCCAGCCCTGTTTTGTATTCTCCACTGAATTGACTGAATTATAAGCACCATTACTCGATCATCATTTGTTACAATTTGTAAAAAAAAATAATAAAATTGGACATGTTTGTTGTTTTCTTTTGCATTCCTTTTTTCAGGTTTGAACATATTTTGTTTTACTCCTTTCCTTTTTTGCTAACCTTATTTTAGTCTCTCTCCTTATTACCTAATCAAGCTGTAGAACAGAAGTAACTAAGCGTATAATTATATTCAAAATTTAATTAGCATTATGGCATTATCATATTCATAAATAGTCTATCTAGCCTAAAAATAGATACCCGGTATTAATAACAATTGAGCACCCAATCTTATGTTCAGGCATTTCAAACCACTGTTCATGATACCCTCACTGAGTAGCCCTTGTAACCAGTGAAATATCCCCTTCAATGCCAGGCACAGAAACATTGCAAATCCCTCTACATACATAGGAGTCAGAATGATTAATACATTGATCATGATGGACCCTTAATATATAGAAGAAGAATTAATGTAGATTATTAACTTTGTTTAGTATACCTTTAGGTAGGTCTTGACAGTTGTAAGTGTTGAAAATATTGTTGCAAATCTAATTTTTACTTTTGCTCAGATAAATAAAATCTGCATGCAACGCCTAAGAAATGGTGCACAACTTTGAAAGCTCACAGAAGGCATGAAGTGCAGTGAAGGTAATTCAGGATGGTCACAGTTAATTGAATAAAACTTAATTTAATATATGCAGTCTCTATTAATACTAATTTTGTTTACATCCCAGCTTATTTTAAAACAATTAGTTTTTATAAAGATTTAGAACTGAAGTGGAAAATTAAGATGCAAGATACAAAAATTTAATTAGTGATTGTAATCAGCTGCCCTGTAATTATTCTCTACCTGATTATAACTATGATGCATTTTGTTACACATTCAAAGATTTATAGTATTCTTAAATTTGATTTATCAAGTATGCGTTATTAAAGGCAAATTTGGTTTCATCCAGAGTAAAATATTTTTTGGAACAGTTTTGGACAGTGAATTACTTTTACTTTTCTCTTTTTCAGGGACAGACAGAAAATGTCCAGTAAGTAACTCATACATTTCCATAGCTCAAAGTTAATTCTATTATTAAAAATCTCTATTAAAAAATAATTTGAATTCTGTATGTACATACTGAGATTATGAAGCTTTTTAAAAATTATGTTGATACCTAGATAATCAATCTAATCTTGTTAGATAATTCTAAATCAATCCAATCATTTTATATATTTTAAATCAATCTAATCATGTTAGATATTTAAATCAATCCAATGATGTTAGATATTTAAATCAATCCAATGATGTTAGATATTTTAAATCAATCTAATCATGTTAGATATTTTAAATCAATCCAATGATGTTTAGTGTAACGACCAAATTTATTATTTACGTTCTTTCCAGAGAAAAGCAGTGATATACTAGATGACTTGTTTGATGATGGCCTACTATCAGATGGTAATTTTAAAGATATATTTCTGTTAAATAATTTTAGGAGAGATATAGAATAATTGTGCACATCATGCTCTGATTAACATTCAAAGATGAAAAGTTTCTGCTTTGAATTTAACTTGTATAGAATTGAAATAAAATGAACATTTTGAACTGTAAACTTATTACTTATGGTACAGGGGAGGCCTGCTTAATGGGACACATTCTCAAGGGAATTTATGTCTGAGAAAACAGCTGCCCAACTATAAAAAATTTCCATGCAGGGAAAAATTACATAATTAAATGAACTAGTTATTAGGTAACAACATTACTGTTATAATTTTTTTTTTTACAAATGATGAATGAGAGTTGAAGACCGTTTTTCTATTAGCACATACAGTTTCTATATACAGTGGTATTTACTTATGTACACCGCCATGGTAACTGCATTGACTTCAACTAAAAGAATATAGTCTAGTTAAATTACTTAAATATAGAACAACCTTCATATGCTAATGATATCTACTCTCAAATAAATTTCTGGGCATTGTGGTGTCATCATCTACATTTTTAATTTGTTTCCAATTTTCTTTATTGCACAGACTCCCCAAGAAGAAAAAAGAATGCATCATTGGTATGTTAGTTAACTGAATGATATATTGCTAATTCACCTAGTTTTATTAAAACAAATGGTACCAATAAATCTTTGTGCATGTATAAGTTAAATTCTTGTTAGATAGATGTGTTAATTTGGTCTTTAAACTGTTTTGATGGAGTTGTTTTCCTAAATAGCATTGGGATTATTAACAGACTTTAAAAAAGAAATTACTAACTTAAAAACAGTCCATTATCTCCCCTTGGTTGCAGGTGCCTGCAAGACAGAGAGCTGTACCTTTAAAAGCAACAAAGCAAGGGTAAGTCATTGTATGTCATAAATTCTTTAACAAAAATATAAGCCATACAACCTTTTAATATAAAAGTTTATTTATTGCGTAATACAATAATAATTGTGCTACACTCCCTGACTTAACATTTTTTAAGTAGTTAAATGTCCAATGGAGAATAGCCATAACAATGGAGAGTGACAATCATAAGAGAAACTCATGAAGGCGTGTTGATAGGGAGAGCTAGGTTGTGTTTGTAGAATATCATCAAGGTACTCCCAGGACAGTGTTTAGATGGGTAGTCAGGGAAAACGAAATCAGAAAAGACCCAGAGATCCCTTGTGCGGAGCAAGAGAGAAAAATATGCTGAATGGTAACCAGGCCCAGGAGACACCTCTCACAATAGACAGAAGTGGGGATCTTTGGCCATTGTCTCAGGCCCCAGTCTGTGCACAAGAACTGAATAAATACATTCAAGTGCATTAATTAAATTTAAAAAATTAATTTAGCCTTGAATTTACTAAACCTAAGCTTGAACTTTTGTAAGTTCTCTATTTTTCTATTGCCATTGATGTTATTTGGGATCTAACTTTCTTTTGTTAGAGTAAAAGATGACAACTTCTACAGCTCTTTGGCCGCCATGACAGCAGAGAGTGATGCTGTATCTGACATATCTGAAGCAGATGTAGACAAAGTGGCCCATTCACTGGGGGTAAATTAATTTAAAAATTATTAATTGATGTATGACCAGTTTTATTTTGGCCCTTCAGCAGTGTAAAATACACTGAAGTCACTGAATGCTTTATTCACATGAAGATCTTTTTTGATCCTTTTTATTTTGCATACCTGTACATTTAAGGCATCAAAATGTAAGCTAGTCCTAGACCTTGTGAAAATAACTCGATGCAATCACAAATAATAATTCTCTAGGTACGCATGTATGGTGTAATGCTAAGCTCTATAGCAGGCCTGCACAACTCAAAATATAAGGCGGGCATTAATACTTTATGAAAACCTTGTGCGGGCCAAATTACAATAGGACAGGGGGAAAGCTATTAAGAAAATAATAAAAATAAAGAATATTTCGTTACTTCGCGGGTCACAAAGTGGGTGCTAGCAGGCCGCATGAGGCCCGCAGGCCGTATGTTGTGCAGGCCTGCTCTATAGCATGCAAAGTAAAATACACATGCGCTAAATGAGATTTTAAAAATACTGCCAGTGTCGGTAACATTTTCTTTTGATTTAGAGAAATAGTTGGTATAATAAATATGCGGTGTAAAAGGAGGTGGGACATTAGAATATTAATATAGTTCAGGGGCATGAAAAAAGTGTGTGGTGGCACACCTAATAGGGTTTCTTAAAAGTGGATTACTTGAATGTATGTTTTTTCAAGTATTTTGTAGCAGATGGGAAGTTCATGCATTGGCGTCACCATTGTTGGGCAGGTTATTTTTAGTAGAATAACAAAGATGCTGTCAAACTAACTTAAAAAGATGTCTGTAATGTTTGATTACCTGCAGGGCTTGGACGACCTAGATGCAGATTTGTTTGGTGATGCTCTCAGTAAGAAAACTGCCCCTGGACGACCTGGTGCTAAACCTACAACACCAAGACGAATGCCCCCAAAATCCAAGGGCAGCTCATCACCAACAAGAGTGCAGGTTCTAACTTTTAACATTTTGTTTTGAAAATAAAAAAATCAATTAGATTTTTTATGTTTTTATGGTTAGAGTTATGTTAGTTTTAAATTTACCAATAAATGCACAAAAGATTTCTGTTAAACAGTCCCCAACTGGAACTGACCCGCCCCTTAGTCCACCAGGAAGTGGTAGAGCCAGTCTCAAGCGCAAGCCTGTAAAGCCTCCTTCCCCTGCGGCAACTCAGCCAAATCCCACTTCACTACCCCAAACTCAACCAGAGCACAAACCTGGAACAGCACCCGGAAAAATGAGTGGTCAGTTTTTTTTGACACTTTGTAACAGTTAGTATGTTTAGGGTCTACTTCAGAATTTACATAATTAAAAATGAACTTTATGGATCTACTCAATCAATTAAATAGAATTTTGGGTTTATATATTCTTAAAAATTTACTTTACTATATTCTATAAAACTCAAATGTAATATTGTCTGTTTTAAAACTTAACTTAACTGTTAACATGAAGACACCCATCACTTGTACAAACACAACCATCACTTGTTAAGTTTCAAACACATCTATCACTGGTTCACTTTCAATCGCATCTATGACCACTTTACTGTTCATGTTTTCTATTTTTCAGATCTGAGCCTGGCAAGTGAAAGTCTTGTGCCTGGCCAGAAAACAGTCCAGCGACCAGAGACGGCGCCTAAGATAAAAAAGAAATATGATTTTGGCGGTGAGTTCAAATTTAATTGTTTTATTAGTGCATTTATGAAAGGGGATAGTTGCTTTACTTAACTACTATACACTTCTGATGTCAATTATTTTTTTAGATACAGTTTTAAATATGTAGGCCTACCATAATTGAAGTAAAATACTCATAAATTTCAAAATATTACTAAAACTAAATTATTTGCATGTAAGAAAAAGGGATAAAAAGTATAAGATGAATGCATAAAAATGTATAATTGTTGGTCATCAAAATTAATTAATGTACAATTAGAGCCTCTAAACTGTATCTTAAATCTGTTTAATTAAAAAATTAGACTCATTAATACTATTAAATGCCCTGTCAGACTTTGATCCAGATGACCCCCTTGCTGGAGTTTTATCAGACGATGCAAATGATTTTTCTGAAAGTGACCGCCCTAAGTCAGCAACAAGGAAGCCTGTGAACTCCACTCAGACAGTGGCCAAAGCAGCAGACAGTCTTGTCAAACCTGTGGAGAAAGCCCCTTTACTTGGTGAACTTTCATCCTGAAATAGATCTAAATCCATCCTATTTATCTAAGTAGCTCACCACCAAATGTAACACAAAGTTGACATTTCATTTAGGAAACTAGATCTAAATCCATCCTATTTATCTAAGTAGCTCACCACCAAATGTAACACAAAGTTGACATTTCATTTAGGAAACTATTTGATTTGTGATATTTGGGAATGGAAGTATAGTTAAATCATTTCCATTTGCCATAACTTGTACACTCATTTCAAGTGATATGTAATAATTTGACCAAGTGGACAAAGTGCAGGGCTGTAAGCATGAATTTTCCAATATGGTAGACCTAATAACAGCTTTCTATAGACCTACTCATGGTAGACCTAATAACAACTTTCTATAGACCTACTCATGGTAGACCTAATAACAACTTTCTATAGACCTACTCATACCTTGATACCAATGGATCCAATTAGGTTAAGTGTAGATCAAATTGTCATCTGCCAATAATTTTTAACAAAATAACATTTTGCTGTGCTGCAGAGTCCCCTAGGAGACGTAATCTGATGGACCGACCCCCAACAAGAAGTGGCAACGGTGCTGGTGATAATGGTGGCACTGATGTCGGTGGGGATGACAAACATGACTATGCAAATAGCGGTGCAGGAAAAAATGGTTAGTTCATGAAAATATATATATCTAATCAATAATTTAACTTTTTCAGTTGAGTTAATTTATATACAATCTTATTAGATATATATTGTAGAGAGTTCAACCTGGGTGGGAGACCCACAGTACGATGGCGGACCAATTACCTGACTGTCTCTCACGCATATCAAGTATAGGAGCAAGTACCAAACAACTTACAATAGGGGAAGGAGGAGTCGACTTTGACATTTAAGGATAATTTATGTGGGGACAGGGAAGACATAGCCTGGAAACCAAGCCAACCGAATGTACATCACTAAGGGACAGTATGGATATCACGAATAAGTTAGAGTAATGACTTTTTGTAGTTTGCTGTAAATTGAGAAATGTCCTTGCAGACCCTGGGTAGTGTTAGATAAATTAACATTAATAGAAAAATTCTCAACTTGATAGATGCTAATAGATGGGCAGGGACACGGAATTGACGTCCGGGGGTAAAAGATCCGGTGGGGGAATGTTTTCTTTAATGATGTAGCAATTCAATAACTGTGGGATTCTAGTGGTGGGTAGTTTCTCGTATGATGAGGTCTAGATATAAGCTAGAGGTTTGGGGACAGTGGGGGAACAGTTGAGATGTAGCAGTTGAGGGAGAACGGCCGAGAGCGAAGCTAGACAGGAGTGGAGTTGAGGACAGACGTGAGAAGACAGTAACGAGATAGAGAGACAACATGACAGTCAGATTTAAGGTCTTAAATGTGAACAGTATAGCAGATCATTAAAGTAAAGTCTAACCATCATGGTGTTATTACCTGATTGCTGCAGTACAACAGAGACAGAGGGAACGAGATTACCATCCACATAAAGTAGTTAGAGAACAGAGAAAGCCAAGGTTCTCTACAATATTCATCATTTTAAATCTTGTCCAATTTAGTTGGCTAACTTTTTATTTAACTTTTATTTTAGCCAGCAAAACCCAGCCTGGCATATTCAGTGATTCTGATAATGATTTATTAGATGGTCTTGGATTGGAAGGAAAAGGAACTGCATTTATTCAGAAACATAAAGCTGGTGAGAGAAACAAATATGTATAACACACATTTTTAAGCCTTAAATGATTTTTAAAAAAATATTATCAATAAAAGTCCAAATTATTATTTTTTGTGGTATTAGGTGCAGGAATTTTTGTGTATATTCTTTTCAATCTTCAAGTTAAGATTATATTTTATTATTAAAATTATACAATGGTTTAAAAACTCTCCTTCCATCTTTTTTCCCCCATTTATATTTATAGTTTTTATGACAAACAAAAACAATTTTTAGAAATGTAATATTAATGTTTATAAGGTATTGAGTTGATCTATAATCTAAGGTTTTTGTTTTTGCAGGAGGAGGTGAGGAATTGCGTCCAGCCAGATCTGTGTTCGACAGCCTCCTTGGCAAGGGTCCTGGAGCGGCCAGCACCCTCCTGGAACCGAAAGAAAAGAAGCCATTTGTCCTAGATAGTAAATACAATGGCTCTTTGGCTGGTAACTATAAATGTTAACTTTTCATTTTAACAGTAACCAGTTACTTTGACAGTGAAGGAAATAAGCAAAACAAAAATGTGGGAAAGCCTGAAAAAAGGATGCAACAAAATAACTACTTTAGTTTTGTTGCATTTCAGGTTTTCCCATACCTCGTTTCACTTATTTCCTTCTACCTAACCTGATGACAGTCTCTGCCCTTGTTACCATATTTTGACAATAAGTTTTGGGCTCGGTTAGGGCTATGAGGAGGGTAGGTAGGAATAATTCCATCAAGAGAGTTGAACTTTTTTCACACAAGCTTCACCACAAATTGTAAATTTTTTGGACTGAAGTTTTTAAAAGCTGCAACACAAACATTAGCCACTTACCCTCGTCCCCTACCACCATCTACCATCAAAACTGTTTTAAGAATTTTCAAGTAAGATAATCAAAAGTAACCATGTTTTTAAATTAATCTTTATATTTTTGCCCTGATGGATTGCTTATTTATTTTAGGTGGCAATGAAACTAAAGAAGAAGAGGATGATTTCTTTTTTGGAAATTACCAGCCTTCTGCAGCCTCAGGGTCAAGGCCAAACTCCCGCAGATCAGTCAGGTAAACCCATATATTAATGAAGACTTTTTCTGATTCAAGACAGACTAACTGGTTAACACTGTTTGGTAATCTAATGTGAAACAAAGTTTAAAGTATAATAAGACTCAACTCAGCCAAAATCTTGTGCAATGTGAAATTATAATTTGAAAAATGTGTTAAAATTAAAGCTGCCCATTGACAGCAGGACAGTCTATGGATGCTTATCCAAAGTTGTCCATTGAGAGCAGGACAGTCTATCGATGCTTATCCAAAAAATGCTAGTATTGGTTTATCTCTTTAAACAGGGAGAAGAAATAAATACATCTTGATTTTTTAGAAGATGTAAAAATGTTACTTTGTGCTAGGAATGCTACAATAATACCAAAAACAGGAATTCTGTTCATAGTGTAAAATCTTATTATCTCTAAATTGCCTTCTAAACTTTTATCCCTTCTAGATTTCAGGACGATGATGACATATTTGGTATTGACAGTCGTCCATCCCCGCGAACAAAATCACCTGGGTCAAGGGCCAAACCCCCACCGGATATGGAATGGCTCGAACTCGCCGCCAACACACCTCCTGCAACAACTGCCACATCGATGCCATCATCACCACCCGTCACAGCCACCACAACAACCAGCGCGTCCACAATGAACTCTGTGGTGACCAAACCTCCAACACCAGCGGCGGCCAGCAAACTTGACAGTCCCAGGAAAAGTGCGGCCAAAGAGGGAGCCGGTGCACCCCCTAAAATTCCTGTGGCGAACACCACGCAGAGCCCAAAAGCCTGGTTAGGACTGCAAGATTCTGAGTCAGATGATGAATTGTTCAAGCCTAAGAAGTCATCAGTGAGAAGTGCGTCCCTGCCTCAGAGCCCTGCCTTGTCTGCCCAAGCTTCACCCAGGATATTCCCCAAGAAACCCAATAAAAGGGATTCTTCCTCACCCAAGCCATCACCTGCTGTGTCGGTCAGTAAGGATGACACTGAGGATGATGACTGGCTCACTCGAGCAAGACAGAGGAGGCAGCAAATGTTGGCCAAGGAGGAGGGAAAGTTAGCAGGAGAGGGAGGAAGTAGTCAGATGCTGAGTGGACAAGATAAAGTTGATGGAGATGTAGTAAAAGTGGACATGTCCTCCACAGTGTAAGTGGGCAACAATGCCTTTCAATATTTTAACATTTATTTATGTTGATGTGATAAATTTACTGTTATATTTCAAAGATATAACCTAGTCAATAAACACTATTGATATTTTATTTATAGTTTCAAGTTTTTTATTGATTACTGCAAGATAATAAAATTAACTGCCAAAATTGTATGAAATTTAAATATAAAGCTTTTTTTCCCCCTGTGTATCATTGGTTTAAAATGTATTTTTGTCATTAGAATGCTTGTGTACTGCGTTAAATGATCCAATAATTATTTCAGGGCTGCTGTTGTCAATATGCCAGCAAGCAATAAGTCTGAAATTTCCAATGATGTATTGTCTCCTGTACAAGGAAGGTAATGGAAGAATGTATTAGTATGAGCTTAGTTGCTTTGCTTTGTGTTGTTGCACATAACAACATTCACTGACATATCAGTTTGAATGCATTTTTTAATGTTCTCTTATGATGGAGTGGAGATTCCAAGACTATTCAGGAAACTTTAAAATGTACAGTCTACCTGTGTACAAAAAATATTGTGAAGCCATATCAAAATCAGACAAAATACAAATTTAATATATTTTTTCTGCAAACTCTCATTCCTAAAAAAACATAAGACCTGCATTAAAGTGGAATCCTATGTAGATAGGTTATTGAAGAAAAAAGAAATAAGAAAACTATAGGGGTAATCTGACAGGTCTGTTAACTAAACTGTCAGAATGCAAATTTGTTTTAATCCTTCTCATTTTGAAAGATTATAAATATTTTATGGGTATCTGTTGGTCTGTCTTCCCATTGGAGATATTTAAATTTAAAATGGGCGTCTGTTTCTGACAGCAATGACATTTTTTTGTTACCATCCAAATAGAGCACCAACCTGGAATTCACCAAGGACTCCACTTAGTATCACAGTCAGTGGAGGACAACTTCAAGGTAAATAACATTTGTATTACATCTTTCCCAGTTTTTCTTTCAGGTTTCTCTCCAAGGGGGAGGGCCAGTATCCCTCCTGAGAAAAAATGTGTACCACAATAATGAGAATATGCAATCTATATAAAAAAACTACTAAATTGTCATTTTAAAAATTCTTTTGATAAAATTAGTGAAATAGTAGAACCAATAAAATATCACCATGCTCAATATATTTGTTGATCCGATATATTTAAGGCAAACCTAGATACCTATTCAGTATTCAATTATAAATATTCTATTATCTTCTAAAAATAGGCAGCTCCCTATTGTAAGCAGCACCTCCACTTCTCCTTTGTTTTTCGCCAATATCAGTATTTTTATTACTGTTTAATACCAGTGTTTATTTCAGATATCTCTAAAGGGCCGGGGGGGGCAAGTCAGCTGCTCGTTCCACCCCTGGAGAAAAAAAAAGTGTTTAAAAAAATTATAAATATAATTTAAAAGACAAAAATGCAATTGTAATTTTTATAACATTTTTTTAAAGTTGCAAATGTTCCTTTAGCCTATTAAAATGAGGGAATTATGGAACCTATGAAAAATTGCTATGCTTAATATACTTGATGTTGTAAGCATTTATTTTTTATAACTGGTATTTTTATTGTTTTTTTGCAAAATACCTAGTTTACTTACTATTTCTTTACAATATAAGATCAAATTTTAAACTAGGGCCGGGTGTTAATTGTATAATTTCATCATGCTATAAAATTGAGTTTTAATAATATTCGCTATATATAAACAATTTATAAAAGCTATTTAAACCTTTTCTACAAAACAGTATTTTTTCTCTGTTTGTATCTGGTATAACTTTGACATTTTTAGGAAGGTAATTAGTATACTTGTTTCTGTCAAGGCCACCTTTTTGTATGGAAATTTATTTTAATAAAAATCCATTAATTTCTTAATAGGTTAAAAAAAAAAATTATTAATAATTAAACAGCAATACTATTTAGTTACAACTTAAAGTATATTATTTGAATAAACACAACAAGGTCAAGATACACCCATATTATGTTGCTCTCTGATTAACAAAATGTGTCACTTCATTTTAAATTTGTCTTAAATTTTCTGTGAAAGGACTCAATGACCCACTCCCTCCCCAGAGACTCTCCTTCCGCATTCACTCGGTGAGCTTTCGACTGCAGCTTTACCACCCCCTCACCTCATATGCCAATCAGTGTGAGAGCACGGGACAAAACTAAATAGGGGCCAAACATTTAATTTTCTGTTGAATTTTCCAGCAAGTAAGTCCCAAGTGCCACACGATCCAAGTATTTCCTCCGACCCAAGACTCAAGTTTTCTGCTGCCACTTTCATGCAGGAGCAGGTAAATCTGCAACATTGCTAACCAATCAAATCATTCATGAAATTGCATCAAAAACAAATTTATCTGAATTTTCTCTTAATGAAGCATATTTTATATAATTTAACATCTATTTAAAGTCATCCTCCAAGAATACAGATATCTTTTACATGGTCTTCTTACTATATAGAGTAATTGTCTCCTACTTCAAAAACTTAACATTGACAATAATTGTTTTGAGAAATTCAGTGTTCCTGTTTAGTAAGCTTGATGTCTGTGTTCCTGTTAAGTAAGCTTGATGTCTGTGTTCCTGTTTAGTAAGCTTGATTTCTGTGTTCCTGTTAAGTAAGCTTGATGTCTGTGTTCCTGTTTAGTAAGCTTGATTTCTGTGTTCCTGTTAAGTAAGCTTGATGTCTGTGTTCCTGTTTAGTAAGCTTGATTTCTGTGTTCCTGTTTAGTAAGCTTGATGTCTGTGTTCCTGTTTAGTAAGCTTGATTTCTGTGTTCCTGTTTAGTAAGCTTGATTTCTGTGTTCCTGTTTAGTAAGCTTGATGTCTGTGTTCCTGTTTAGTAAGCTTGATTTCTGTGTTCCTGTTTAGTAAGCTTGATGTCTGTGTTCCTGTTTAGTAAGCTTGATGTCTGTGTTCCTGTTAAGTAAGCTTGATGTCTGTGTTCCTGTTTAGTAAGCTTGATGTCACTCAGTGATCCTGTTTAGTAGCTTGATTTCAGTGGCCCTGTTTAGTAACCTTGATTTCAGTGGCCCTGTTTAGTAAGCTTGATGTCTGTGTTCCTGTTTAGTAAGCTTGATGTCACTCAGTGTTCCTGTTTAGTAAGCTTGATGTCACTCAGTGTTCCTGTTTAGTAAGCTTGATGTCACTCAGTGTTCCTGTTTAGTAAGCTTGATGTCAGTGTTCCTGTTTAGTAAGCTTGATGTCAGTGTTCCTGTTTAGTAAGCTTGATGTCAGTCAGTGTTCCTGTTTAGTAACCTTGATGTCACTCAGTGTTCCTGTTTAGTAACCTTGATGTCACTCAGTGTTCCTGTTTAGTAAGCTTGATGTCAGTGTTCCTGTTTAGTAAGCTTGATGTCACTCAGTGTTCCTGTTTAGTAACCTTGATGTCACTCAGTGTTCCTGTTTAGTAAGCTTGATGTCACTCTGTGTTCCTGTTTAGTAACCTTGAGTCACTCAGTGTTCCTGTTTAGTAGCTTGATTTCACTTAATTTTCTTTTGCAGAGTGATACAGTACCTAAAAGACAACAGCTTTATCAGCATGAAGCGCAGCAGCAGCAATTACAACAGCAAAAGCAATTAGAGCAGCAATTACAACAACTTGAGCAGAAACAATTTCAGGCAGCGCAACTTCAACAAATGCAGCCTCTGCCATCACAACTCCATCAGTTGCAATACACACAGTTACAAGAACAAAAGAAAGCTGAGCTGCTCAGACAGCAGCAGGAACTTCAGCAGATGTTGAGAAACACACAGAACCAATTTGACTCTTTAGCTAGAGCACAGGTAGGAAGTTACTTGTTACTAGTTCATTCACAGTGACACAGATTGCTAGTGAGATGGAGTGCTGATGCAACATGATGGAGCATAATGAATTTATTTGTGCCATGTGGAAAAGACAATTGACTGGACTGGACCATTGACTACTTAAGGACCGGATCATTGACTAGTTAAGGACCGGACCATTGACTAGTTAAGGACCGGACCATTGACTAGTTAAGGACCGGACCGTTGACTAGTTAAGGACTGGACCATTGACTAGGTAAGGACTGGACCATTGACTAGTTAATAACCAGACCATTGACCATTTAATATACAACATGAAAAATGAAGGTCATGAATTTTAGAAATGTAATTTTGCAACACGCTTTAAAAACTCAACGTCCAGATGTTGTTCAGAACTTTGTTTCATGGCACTGCCCTTTTCCCAGGGAGAGAATTAGAAGAGCATCACTTATGTGGCATGAATGGCGGCTAATTGTTTTGTTCCATTAATTAGAAGCGAACGTGCTGAATGAAATGTTAATTATCCATAGTAAGTTACGCCTGTTGTGTTCTTTAAGTCAATTGTAAAGTTATTTTCCATTTCAGGTTGTCCCATCTAGTCTCAGTATACCATCATATGCTCAAATCACTTCTAACATTGACTTACCAGAATCTCTGTCAGAGGCTCATGCAAAAGTATGATGAATTGTATTCATATTTATTGATTATGTTCTATCATATTTTAATTATTTAAAAGGAACTCTTAATTTTATAAAATAAAAGTTTGTCAGATGTTTTGGAGTAAGTCTTAAGATATGCATTGATATTTAGTTTGTTTTAAATGTAGAAATTCTTATTTAAATTTCCAATCAGACTCTAAAAGTTATCACTATGCTCAGGGTATAGTGTGAGATAAAATTCTTGATGAAATTTTTTATATCTATTTCTCTGTTTATTTAGATCAGGAAACTAGAGCTGGAGAAAAGTTACTCCGAGTCTCTCCTTGAGAGTTTAAAACGACGCTATGAAGAAGAGATGTCCGCCATAGAGAACTCCTACAAGTGAGCATTATTAAAACTTGCTATAAGTGGAGATTTTGTTTTATTTATTTTAAAGGCTGTGTTTTAGATTTATAACACATTATTCTTCTGTTAGATGGAGATGAAATGTGGCTTAATTAAGCTGTGTCTGTGTGTGTATGAGGATGTTTTGTTGTAGAATCATAACAAATCAAAGTTAATAAATTCAAGGATTAAAATCAGATTTGTGAAGTCTGTATTTATATTTTATCATTACAGCTGTGGTAGATTTGAAAACTATTTATCTTACACAGTTTATAATTGAATAATTTGAATTAATAAAAAAAAAATATTTTTCAACACACTTTAACTAAATACACAATGCCAAATTACTCACACTTGAACTAAATATACAATTCCAAATTCCTCAGGAATAGACTCCAAATTGTGGAGGATTCCAACAGAAAGAAAGAAGCCAGGTGAGTAGGCTGCTTAAAACAATTCTCAGTGAAGTTGATATTTATTTATGTTTTAATTTATTTCAACAATTATTTATATTTTAAGTAAACATTGATATGGTGATGCCACCGTTTATTTTACTGTTAATTTGAGATTTCAAACCAGTACCTTGGAAATTATCTACAATCATTTAATTAATAAGAGATGCGATTCTTATCAGGACTCCGCTGTTGACAGTTATACATAAATAAATATAGATGGTGTTGCAAAGGATTTTAAGTTTCTTTTGAAATTATTTTTTTAACAGGTTGACTTTTATTGTCTATTTTAAACAATAATTTGTTTCCAGGTTGAGAGAGGAGAATGAGGAATTAATGCAGCAACACCTGAACAAGGTCAGGCAACTAGAACAAGAGAAAAGTGAGGCCAGTAATGTCCACTATCGTAAAATGGAGGACTTTGAGAGGGAGAAAGCTCAAGATATAGAGAAGCTAAAAGAACAACATAGGTTAGTATGGGGACAATGTTTGTTTGGGGACAGCAAAAATGATTGGGGGGGGGGGGGGGAATTAATGTTTACGTTTTGCAACCAGTGTGCCGAGAGTTGCTGCATAGTGTGCCGTGACATTAGGAATCCTAGTGTGCCGCTACATTAGGGAACCTATTGTGCCGCGACATTAGGGATCCTAGTGTAGGAGAACTGCAGAGTTTAACCAGAGAAATAAGAACCGGGGCACCACAAGGCTGCGTTCTCTCCCCTGTGCTGTATACAATATATACCAATGATATTCAAAGCTCAAGTGACACCATTCCAATCTTAAAATTTGCTGATGATACCACCATCGTTGGCTTAATATCTGAAGGACAAGGCTTATACCGCAACTTAGTTACAAGCTCTATCAATTGGTGCGATGAAAATTTTCTCCAGCTGAATGTCTCAAAAACAAAGGAAATGGTTGTTGATTTCAGGAGGGGGAACACCAGATTACAGATCTCAACATAAAAAATCAAAGTGTAGAAAAAAAAGTAGAGGCATATAAGTACTTAGGTGTCACCATTAATAATAAGCTAACATGGCATGATCACGGCCAAATGCTGTATAAGAAATTCAACCAAAGACTGTTCTACCTCAAAAAACAGTACAATTTCGGTGTAAACAAACAAGTCGTTAACTTATTCTAGAGTTCAACAATTAGAAGCCTTCTTAATTTCAATATCACCTGCTGGTGTGGGAATTCAACGTCTGATATTAATCACCACATAAACCGACTAATCAAGAAAGCTAGGAACATAACACAAACTAAACATCCTTCACTTGAAGAACTATTTGAAGAAAGATGTTATTGTAAAACTAAACACATTTTGGATGATACATCCCACCCTCTTCATCACAGATACTTAAGATCGGCCCATTTGAGACGAATTCTTTCCATCAAGATGATGACTGAAAGATATAAAAATTCTTTTGTTCCCCTATCTGTACGAATTTACCAGCTTACTCCCCATAAGTCACAATTTTAATGCGAACTAAAAAGTCCCTGATATGGCTAAAAGAACTCACTGAAAGGCTGCTAGTGAAAAATTTATTACAAATGTCTTGTGTTCAAATTGTTTTATAAATGTGCTGAAAATGTACAATGCAATCATAAAACATTTCCATTTATTTGGATCAATAAAAGAATCTTATCTTATCTTATCTTATCTTATTATGGCAAGCTCAACACTTTAATCCATGGGTGGGCAAACTACGGCCCGGCAACTGCTATTATGTGGTCCTCAAAGGCATTTAGAAATATAAAAAGTACTTTGTTTTTAAGTTATTTTGTTGAATTTTACAGAATTTCTTGTACCATTATGATTGTTTTAACATTTTTGATCAACTTTCGTACTACTTTCTTTTTTTTTAAACAGTCCTTGACTTTTGTCTTTTGTCATGTAATGCTAAAATGTGAATTTACCGATTTTAATAGAGAGAAATGTTTATCGACATGTAAAAATTGGACATAATATACATGTTGCTGCCCAATAGCTTTACATTTGTCCAGACCTGTTTACCCTCAAACTCTTAAAATCGTACAATATCATCACAAAGTCATTTAATACGTTATATTCATAGTAAAAAAAAACATACAGTATATACAATCTATACACCTCAAAATCGTACATTGTACGCCAAAATCGTAAGAGTAAACAGGTCTGTTTGTCAATGCGGCCCTCCGCACAAAAAGTTTGCCCACCCCTGATTTAATCAAATAATTTTGATATAATGGAACAGTTAATAGGAGTTAAAAGTTTATGACCAAAATGCTTTGACCAAACGGGTGATCGTCTCAGCTACTTGCCACTGAAAGCTGTGGAAAGAATGAAACCAACAGATTGAAGAATACATCACAGTCCTTGAATTTGTATAGGAGATTGTTATAGTGAGTGGTGATTTCTTCAAATGGTAAAGGATTCCATGGTGTAGGAGTGTTCGTTTTGCCTTGATATTTCTGATGTGCAATCATAGTTATACAAAAGATTATTATTTTCATATGCAAAATTACAAACTACTAATGATGTATTTATTGAGAATCATAAGTGGTCCAAAACAAATTTCCTTTGAACTAATGAGATCAATGAATGTGTCGCATGGGACATTAAAAAGGAACACAATAACCAGCACGAAATGTTTTTACAGTCTGGTAAGAAAATACGGGGTCAGAAATAAATAATTATTTCACACTGTAATATGCTTGTGTTCATCTAATAAGTTTGTTTTCCTTGTGTAAAGCTCTGACAAGATAATAATTTCAGCTCAAATATGATTTCATTAAATTTCTAATCAAATTTCTAATTGTCTGATCAAAACAAGCTCCACAAAGATAATCTCTATGACTTACTTACTTGCATAAATGAGTACTTCAATGAGCTAATGAAGAATTTCTAATGAAGTAAAAGCTTCAAATAATTTATTCTTAAGTAAGCAAAGTAACGAGGGTGAGATCCCGATGAGAATTTTTACTGAGCTCCAATAAGTTTAAGGGGCTCAACCCAAAAATCGACTTTTGTTGAATAAAATCAGGCAAAGATCTTAATAAACGTACCAAACAAACCTGGTACCGTAACAAATTACAAGAGAGTATTGGATTTGTCTTGACAACATCTAGCATTGATCCAACAGAAATACAGTGAGATAATATGGAGTTAAAGAATAGGAAATAAATCGATAATTAAATGATCTGCATACTGTTCTACTTTGCAAATTTCTATTCAATTTCTCAGTGAATTTCTGGAATTAAGGAATGACGGTAAGCTGAAATTAAATGAAATGAACTGAAGCAGTCGAGCATTGAAGCAGTATAAGGAGTTGGAGTTGCTTCATTAGACATCAATGAAATGTGAAACATATTTGCTCAGCGGGACAAGCTCAGGGTTCAATTTTTTAAATGTTTTATTTGTGGTGTTATGCGAATTTCTGGGGAAGGCAAAGGTGTGCGGTGAGACTACAAATGGTTGCAAGCACTGCTTTTGACCACAGTAAAACATCAGTCATATATTGGTCAGTGGTAACTCAGAACCGCCCTGGTATAATGGCTGACTGTGGCAGTATAGGCCACTGACCACAGAAGTGACAATTATTTATGTCGACCACTTTTTGTTTCAGATTATTAATGTCAACACTGAAGAGAGAACAAGATGAAGCCTTAGAGAGGCTTGCCAGGGCCAAGAACCAGGAAATAAACATGGTGGCCAGTGCGAATGATACGTCCAAGTATGTTTGCTATTCCTGTAGTTTGTCTATAATATCTTTAATATGTCCAATTAGATCTATTTGATATGAATTTCCTAAAAGACATACAGCATTATATGAACAAAGCCCACCACCCAAAATCCCATTTCCTAAAATCTCTATGCTCTTGGTAACATTGATTTAACACTAGTTAATATTGATTTAAGACTAGGTAACATTGATTTAACACTAGTTAATATTGATTTAACACTAGGTAACATTGATTTAATATTAACCAAATTTTTATGAAATATTTTGCTTCCATTCTCATGTGGTCTTATGTCATCTTATGTGGTCTTATGTCATTTTATGTGGTCTTATGTCATCTTATGTGGTCTTATGTCATCTTATGTGGTCTTATGTCATCTTATGTAGTCTTATGTCCCCCCCCGTCCCGTCCCCCCCCCCATCCCCCCCCCGGTCCGCCCAAGGCTAACTACTGGGGCAATTCTCAGTACCCTATTTTAAATATATTTAAAAAATAATCCTTGGTCGGGTATCTGGGCCCCTGATGACGGCCCTACAAACAACCTTATGTAATAATGATCTTTGAGACATCATAAAAACTATAACATTTCTACTGAAAATTTGATAATTTAAAAAAATAAACATAAATGAATTCAAACAATCCCTGCAGCTGCAACTGATTGTCTCATATGAGCCTACCGGGCATCCTAAGTCGTCCTGACACAACTCTATCATTGTTATTGAGAAAGAACCTCAAAATGATCTGTCCCTGAGTTTTTCGTAGATGGCGTGATTTTGCGTGATTTCATTGAAGAAAAAAGATATTTAAAAAAATCTTTTTTGACTTTCAATCTATGTTCGCTTTTATATGGCGGATATTTTCTCTAGAAAGAGTTTGTCTTGCACATGTTGCCTGTAGCTCATATTATAGTACAAGTTATGTGATAATAATAAAATGATGATTATTTGAAAGAAGAACTTACACAAAAATCCAAGGTAATTTAAAATATTTTTTTAATACAATTTATATTAATAGACTACACCATTTTAAATGAGTAAAACTTAAAGTTGTAATATATACACAGTTTAATTCTTTAAAAAAACAAAACAAATTGTCACTCCCATTTCTTAAAAATTTGTCTGCTCTATCAGATATCTGGTTACCCGGTATTGTGGGTTGATGGGTACCTAGGCAGCTTTTTTAACATTTTTGACAGCCCTAGTTTTTTGTGCATGCTAGGAGGACCCTAGAGCAGCGATTCTCAACCTGTGGGTTGCTGCCCTTTTGGGGATCGAATGACCCTTACACAGGGGTCGCTTAAGACCATCAGAAAACACATATTTATAGAGTGGCAACGAAAATAATTTTATGGTTAGGGGTCGCCACATCATGAAAAACTATTAAAGGGTCGAGGCATCATGGAGGTTAAGAACCACTGCCCTAGAGAAAATACAACATTGGCTGTAAGTTCAAGTAAGACAGTTTAAGTAACCTCATCCAAGTGATTATTTTCCTAATGTCCATATGCTTGGTCACTTCAGAAGTTTGACAGCTGTGGTTGAACAGATCCAGAGCAATGCCAGAGATCTGGGAGAACTGCAGCTGAAGGTGGACACCTGGAACAGACAAGGGCTGGATCAGAGGGAAATCTCACTCAAGTCAAAAGATGAGCAGCTCAGAAGTAAGTGGACATTGAACTTTGACCCCTTGAGTTAGCTGTATAGACTAATGTAATCAAGGTCATCTCAGCAAGTGGTACAGATACCACAAACCTGACAATGTGTTGGAAAAACTCCTCGGGTAGCATAATAAGCTCTCTCTTTTAGTCATTCTTGATTACTTTGTATTCAGGGAAATGATATAACCATCACAGGGTTCTTAATATAGGTTAAAAATCTAATATTTAGTGGTAAAATTATTGTGATGTTGTCAACATTTAGTGTGGTTCTAGTACAGTGGTTCTTAACCTGGGTTCGATCGAACCCCAGGGGTTCAGTGAGTCAGTCTTAGGGGTTCGGCGGTTCAGAAAAAAAAGTCATATTTTATTTTTCCTATTAAGAAGGGTTCGGTGAATGCGCATATGAAACTGGTGGGGTTCGGTACCTCCAAACAGGTTAAGAACCACAGGTCTAGTAGTTGAATTATTGAGATGTTGTCCACATTGAGTGTGTGTCTAGTAGTAGAATTATTGAGATACTGTCACCATTCTCTCGTTGAATTGCATGAGTTGATGTTTATTTGCGGCCACAAGTGCTATGCCTCTATTTGACTGACACAGCTGACCAGCATTTTGATGATTTTTCCAGTGCTGCAAGAACGCTTGACCAGGCAGGAAGAGGATAATGAAAGGGAGAGGAAGAGACTGGAGGAGTTGATAGCGAGGATGGAGTCACAGTTGAGAGAACAAAGTCGAACTCTGGATGAGGTTTGTTTCTTAGATAAAAACTTGATCAATATTTTTATTTTAATATCAGGTGCAAAAAAAAACTAAATGTTCTAATTGTGACCAAGTGAGTCTTTAGCATAAAAATATTTAAAATCGATGACAAACTTTAAGAGAAGGAAAACTGACAGCAAACCTCTGTCCTGCCTTGTGGCTACAAACTCATGGTGTGCTGCCTTGTGGCTACAAACTCATGGTGTGCTGCCTTGTGGCTACAAACTCATGGTGTGCTGCCTTGTGGCTACAAACTCATGGTGTGCTGCCTTGTGGCTACAAACTCATGGTGTGCTGCCTTGTGGCTAAAAACTCATGGTGTGCTGCCTTGTGGCTACAAACTCATGGATTAAGGTTAATGGAAAATATCCCGATGGAAAAACTCAGTGGAAACTCTTTATCAACCAAATGAGGTCCTCTTGGCACACCAGATGTGAGGAGAGGGGGGATTTGCTGACTGGGTACTAGCTTATTCTCCATGTAAAAAAAAACATTTCATTCTCAGACTTTGTGGTTTTGCAATTTCCAGTGAAAACCAACCATTGTCTCCTTCAGATGGACTGAAGCCCTAAAAAATAAAGGATGCTGGATCCAAACTGTCTCAAACCAAATAGCCGGTGGTCTGGAGTTCAATCCCCACCAAAGCACCCCAGGTGGATGGGACTCGTTAGCCTTGGACGGCAACCCATCTGAAGGCAAACTCTGAATTTAAACCAGGAGCCAGAATGATCAACAAATTGATCATGGGCCCCTCAAATATAAGAAGAAGAAGAAGAAAGAATAAATAAAACAAGTAGTGAAATAAAACAATAGAGATCATCAAAGATTTGTTTAATGATACTTGCTAGATGCCTTTGTTTGGTCAGACTCCAGCCCTGTCATGGGGACGCTTCCTTTCCTATAGAGCAACGCTGAGCTCATTATTTCCTCATTTTAATTAACTTGTTTGTTTTGTTGCAGGAACGATGGAAGTTGAAACAAGACCAAACACGAGTAGAGGCCCAGCAACGAGCTTTAGAGGACGAGAAGCGCTTGTGGTTGGAACAACAGACAAGAGAGCGAATGACTTTAGATAGGTCTAGAGTAAGGGGACTTCATATTTTTATACTTTGTGCCATGGACTTTGAGAGCTTTTGGGCAGTTTGTGGTTTTGTGACCATTTGTTTGAGTCTAGTGGAGTTTTATAAAAAAATAATGTAAACAAGTAAACATCAAATTAATCTGGAGTTACCTCTCAGAAATTTACAATTTAGTGATGAGAAAAGAAACGATTTATTAGATGCATGTTAATTTGGTTCTTTGGATGAGTTTCATTTTTTGATGTGATTTTTTAATTTTTTTTTCAAAAAATTGTATTGTAATTTAGTTTTATCACAACACTAGTTAATTTTAAATACAGAAGCATGACTTTAGTACCAGCTTATTCATTTGAAATGTTGAATTAAAAAAATACTGAATCGTTTTTATCAGGAGAGCCACCTTGAAGAACAACGCAGCTCTATAACACTGATCAGTGAGGAACGCCGCCTGCTGGCGGGGGAGAGGGCAAAGTTTGAGATTGAGCAAAAGACTGTAAGGGAAAAGTTGCATCAAGACACCATCAGGAAGAGCCAGGTAGATGCTGTGACATCATCAGATTTATTTTAGCTTTTTTCTCTCAATTATACTAAGCATTAAAATAAAAAAAACAAACAAATTATATGGAATACTCGGTACTCTCCTACAATTGTATAATGTGTAAAAAGATCTTCATTATATCTGTTATTCAATCATTGAGAACTTTTGACTGCCCCAGATTTTCCCCTGACATATCCCTTAATGCAATAATTCTTAGCTCATTTGACTTCTTGAGATAGATAAATTATTTGAATTGATAGTGCTGCTTTTTTGAGGACTACTTAAAAATTCTGAAAAGTTCTTATAAGACATCTTATTGACTTGGCTCATTGAACATTATTATTGGGGGGACATACAATATTTTTAAATAGTTTTAATGGTAACAACAAAGACAATAACAATAATATTTTGGGTCTTTTATTTTTGTTTATACAGTCGAACTTGCTTATCTCGACCTCGGTTCACTTGCCAACCCAGTTATGTCGACATTTTTAAAGTTTAACAGCCAAATTCTCTCCTTGTCTTAGCATTTTCTCCTTGGTTATGTCGATTCTTTTATGTCGCCAAGCCCTGATATCTCGAGCACAAAAGGCAGCCAAATTTGCCACTTAACGTCGGTTATCTCGATCCCACAACCGATCACCAGCTTTTGAACTCTGCAAGGAGAAATAGTAAACAAGAAGTTTTGCATAATTAAAAGTAATTATTTCTTTCTCAAAGTACAGGAGTGAAAGAATCCTTAAGATTATGTTGTAATGATCATCCTCCTCGTGTGTGCAAAACAGACCATAATAAGTTCATTGTCACTCCTTTACTTAGACAAAGGAAACTAGATCTCCATATGACCCAGGGACATACTGGCATTGAACGGTCATTGGTTTATGGTCTGTTTCCCGCATCCGAAAAATCTATTGGCGCGCGCCGCTATGTGAAGTACCTAATATTATAGACCTATTTGTTAAAATATAACTTACAATTTTATAACATTCGTTAATAGAAAGTAGGTCTACTAAGTATGGGCCTAAGCCAGCTGTCCTAAAACTAAGACTAAAATGAGTATTTCACAAATAATAAAGTAATTATAATATTAATATTCTAAGCATGTAAAGGATAAAGTCTAATCAGTCAGTCTAAATCTAATAGCCTACTAAGTAACCTAGACCTAGTCTACTCCTAAAACATATTAGGCTTAAGCTCTATAGCCTATTAATTATTATTGACTTAAATTATTAAAGTAGGCATAGCCTCAAATGTAGGCTTAATTTAGTGTATTAGACTCACTCTTATTTATTAAAGCACATCATGTACATAAAGAAATTTCAAGCAAATTTTAATATATTGCCGCCATATTGGTTTTCTTTATTTTGATCATCGGTTATCTCGGACGCTTTTTGGCAAACCCCTAAGCCGTTGACATAACCGGGGGCCGTTGACATAACCGGGTTCTATTGTATATGTTTTCATGCTCATTTATCAAATTTTTCATAAGTTTGAAGATTTTATGAATGTAATTAATTTACTAAATCATTTTTTTATTTAAACAGGCAGAAGCAGAATATGAGGTCCTGATGAGGACTATTGCTGAAGAGAAGTCTCACCAGGCCAGCAGACTACGAGAGCTGCAGAGAGAGGAGGAGAGAATAGTCAGTGAGAGGAGCAAACTTGAGAGGGAGAAAGCTCAGCTGGAAGTGGACCAGGAGAGGCTGGCCAAACAGGCACGTCAGATACGTGAACAATCAGAGGAAATTGATCGAGTCACAGAGGTAATGTTAATGTTGGGACTAATTTTGGTACAGACAAGTTCTCCATTGGTCCCTGGTTTCCAACTCATGGGTCACGACCCCAAATGGGAGCATGAAGGGGTTGCTGTGGGGTTGCCGGCTTAAACAGTAAACTAACAGAAATAAGGAAATTAGATTTTTAAAAATTTTGTAATGTATATAGAATATGATCTAGTTCAGGGGTTGGCAAATTGCTATTATGTGGCCCTCGAAGGCATTTAGAAATAAAAAAAGTACTTTGTTTTTAAGTTATTTTGTTGAATTTTACAGAATTTTATGTACCGTTATGATTGTTTTAACATTTTTGATCAACTTTCTAATTTTCAATTTCTTTCTAACAGTCCTTGACTTTTGTCATGTTACGCTAACATGTGAATTCACCCATTTTAATAAAAATAAATGTTTATCGTTATGTAAAAATTGGACATGACATACATACGGCCCCCCAATAGCTTTACATTAGTTAATGTGGCCCTCCGCACAAAATGTTTGCCCACCCCTGATCTAGTGTTTGCTGTCTGCCATTATGTATGTCTATGATTACCTGATCTAGTGTATAATGTCTGCCATTATTTATGTCTATGATTGCCTGATCTAGTGTATAATGTCTGCCATTACGTATGTCTATGATTGCCTGATCTAGTGTATAATGTCTGCCATTATGTATGTCTATGATTGCCTGATCTAGTGTATAATGTCTGCCATTATGTATGTCTATGATTGCCTGATCTAGTGTATAATGTCTGCCATTACGTATGTCTATGATTGCCTGATCTAGTGTATAATGTCTGCCATTATGTATGTCTAAGATTGCCTGATCTAGTGTATAGTGTCTGACATTATGTATGTCTAAGATTGCCTGATCTAGTGTTAGTGTGTGATATCTGCCTTTATGTATGTCTATGATTGTCTGACCACTGTCCACAGGCAGCACGCAGAGCTCAGCATGAAGGAGAGCAAGCCATGGATGAGGCCATGCAATACAATTCTCAGATGGAGAGAAGAGAAGGGGAAGTAGAGAAACAACTGAGTGGCTTAAAGCTTATGGAAGAACACATAACTCAGGTCATTATGGAAGTTCTAGCACAAGTGTCAAATAAACATAGTGGGAGTAATTCTAACAACATAGAACATTTAACTGAGCAACTATCATAGAACATTTAACTGGGCAACTATCATAGAACATTTAACTGGGCAACTATCATAGAACATTTAACTGGGCAACTATCATAGAACATTTAACTGGGCAACTATCATAGAACATTTAACTGGGCAACTATCATAGAACATTTAACTGGGCAACTATCATAGAACATTTAACTGGGCAACTATCATAGAACATTTAACTGGGCAACTATCATAGAACATTTAACTGGGCAACTATCATAGAACATTTAACTGGGCAACTATCATAGAACATTTAACTGGGCAACTATCATAGAACATTTAACTGGGCAACTATCAGTTGGAGACCAGAAAACAAAAGTACATGCAACATGACCAAACAATAATTATGGAACAAAATGAAATAAGAGGCTGACTGCTTGAGCCTCACAAAGTTTATTTTGTGTGACATAACCATTACTTGTTTAACTCTTAATATTTCACTCTTTAAGTGAGTTCCACATATACATTGTTTTACACAAAAATTAAGTAGTAGAAAATAAAAAAAGCTGAAATGAAACACTATTTTCTGAACATGGTGTATCATGTGATGATCTTTACACAAGTTTTGACTATTGTTGATAAAGTTAAAAAACGAGATGTATTTTTTTAAAAATCAGGTGAAAATTAAATTCTTTTTAAATAACAGGAGAAATTACGTTTGGCCAGAGAAAAGAAAGAAGTGGAAAATTTGAAAAAGTCTTCTCTCTGCACAAACTGCAGATCTCCAGTCAATGGCTTTGGATCCGTGCCAGTTGTTCATCAGAATGGTCAGTTGTGGGGAGCAAATCTTTTCCTTAACTTTGTATGTAATTTAGTTCAGAGCTTTGGGATCTTTAGTACAGTAATGGTCTATAGAACTTATTTAGTTCAGAGCTTGTCTTTAGCAATTTGGGATGTGTATCTTTAGCACAGTAATGATCTATAGAACGTATTTAGTTCAGAGCTTTTCTTTAGCAATTTGGGATTTGCATCTTTAGTACAGTAATAATCTATAGAACTTATTTAGTTCAGAGCTTGTCTTTAGCAATCTGGGATGTGCATCTTTAGTACAGTAATAATCTATAGAACTTATTTAGTTCAGAGCTTGTCTTTAGCAATCTGGGATGTGCATCTTTAGTACAGTAATAATCTATAGAACTTATTTAGTTCAGAGCTTGTCTTTAGCAATCTGGGATGTGCATCTTTAGTACAGTAATGATCTATAGAGCTTGCTGGCAAATTTCTCAGGTTTCTAAAAATGTATCTAATATTATTATATGATGTAAACATGTTCTTTTTGGAAATGTTAGGTAGAAAAGGGTGAGGATAACATGAGGGCAAATAATGTGCATTGGTCACAGAACAGGGTTATGCCAAGAAAATTTTTCTGTGGTGAAACTAAATGAGCAAATATAGTTGTTATTTATTCCAGGTTTATTAATCCATTTTGTAATTGAAAAAACAACAAAAAGAAACATTTAGCTAAAATCATACTTATTTATTTTTTTTATTAATCCATTTATTTTATTGAATTAATCATTTGTGAAATTTGATCAACTTAGTTTAGCTATCTTTATTTCAACACATGTAAAGAGTGCTAAACTTATTCTCTATATTGAGTAAAACAAGTCTTGACACCTTGTTATGCATTTTACTATAGAAATAAAACGTGTTACGATCATCTTCATACTAAGATATTGTCATGTTATAATCATGTCGTACGTCTGTCCATTTACTTGACAGGTTTCTACACTCCTCCTATTATTTCAACAAATGGCCATCCAAACGGTCACCTAGTTCTGAGCTCGTCCACTCATCACCCCAGCGACAACCCACTTGGCCAAATAGCTGCATCAATAGCTAGTGATCGAGCTGTCCGTATGTTGAAAATACAAGCCATCAAGGTAATATCAATTAACAGTTGACTTTTTGTGTTTGTTTCAAATTATTTTTCTTGAATCATATTTATTATTGTAACTACCTTTATTAACAAACAAAATTTTCAAGTTACTCGAGTCTGTGAACTTTGAACAAGACTTTCATTACTAAAACAAAGAATTAAAAAAAACGAATACTTTGAACAAGTGTTTAGAACTGTTTGACCTGTAACATTCTAGGTTGATTAGCTTAATTTGTCATATGCCTTTGCTAGCTTTAAGAAATGATTATTTTATTTTTTAGGACAAAGAGTTTTTAGAGGAAGAAAATTTCTACTTAGAAAGTTTACGTCACACACCGTATCATTCTACAACCTCAAAATCTTAGTCCACCAAAGTTTATGTCACACACCGTATCATCCTACAACCTCAAAGTCTTAGGCCACCAAAGTTTACATCACACAACCTCAAAGTCTTAGCAAACCTGAGAAACATCTGAAAAGTTGCCTCAAAGGAAGATGTTTCTTTACCAACGGGGGATCATCTTGGAGCAACTGTGTAACTCTGACAAAACATTCCAGATTTAAACAAAGAACAGTTACAACTCAAGTGTGATGCATCAGATCAAGTGCCAATGGCTAATCTTAAATTGTGTAGAAACATTCAACACAAAAATTAGCGTAACTGTAAAATTAGCGTAACTGTAAAATGAGCATCTTGTTGCCTGTTAAACTTCAGTTATTGGAAGTCAATGGGTTAACAATCAATTTATTCCTTGTGTCCATTGATCTTTGTTTTTCACATAAACTATGCCTTGAAATGTTCATAACAAACACAAGATGAGTTGGAGAGTTCCATGTCTGATTCCTCATACTTTGAACCTTTGTTTATATTGTCACATCATTTGATTTAGCTGCAATTATTCATACAATCTCATACAGCTACATTTATTCATACAATCTCATACAGCTACATTTATTCATACAATCTCATACAGCTACATTTATTCATACAATCTCATAGATATATTTATTCATACAATCTCATAGATATATTTATGCATACAATTTCAAACAGCTACATTTATTCATACAATCTCATAGATATATTTATTAAAACAATCTCAAACAGCTATATTTATTCATACAATCTCAAACAGCTATATTTATTCATACAATCTCATACTCCTATATTTATTCATACAATCTCTTACAGCTATATTTATTCATACAATCTCTTACAGCTATATTTATTCATACAATCTCATTCAAGAGATAATTTATTTTCAATGAAAATCTCCCAGATGCCTAATGAGAGGTGACCCAATTATTGTTCCAATTTGTATTTACATTGCAAATAGCATGTTGGTGTTCTGTCACCAGGTTGTCTCCAGTAAGATGTGGTTATTTGTCAAGTCTTATTATCTTCTTTCATTGTGATTTTTCTATACAGAAATGGTAGGTTTACTTTTTAATAATGTATCCAACAGTGTTGTTGTTTTTTTTTTAAATAAGGTAACTGTCTACAATCATTCACCTTTCAGTCAGTAATGTCTTTGTGTGTGAGGATGACTTGTCAGCCAAAAATGTTAAGTCTAAACAAAGTTATTATCCTATCATAGTTAAATATAAATCTATATGTATGTATTGATACCATGTTAAGCCAAAATAAAGCTGTGTTAGATATTATAAGTTCTTATATTGTGCAACTACATGTGTACAAAATTATAATGATATATTTAGTGCCTTCTGTGTAACTTTTTATTTTAAATCCAACGAAAGCCAAAACTTTTTGTACTGAAATTATATTTGTAAGGGCATGTAAAGATATTATATTGAGTAACATCCAATTTAAATTAATGTAATTATATTTTCTACTTTTCTTTATTCTTAACTTGAGAAATCCATTTTTGATGGTAGTGTTTGGATCAGTTATGCCAACTGAGAGGTCTTTGCTGAGATGATTCATTAATCCATGTTGCTATGAAGGCAGATGTAAGACAACCTTCAAATTGTATAGATTTCAAGCAGTTTGAATGATCTCACAAAATAATCATAATGCATGCACTATTTTCAGTTGATAAATCATCCTGTGGTGTGGGCTCTTTTGTTTCATTGTAAAGTCTATGAAAAATGGATTTCATTAAGAAAGAGATACCCAAATTTTGTATCATTGTATAGTCTAGAAAAATGGATTTCATTAACAATGTGATACCAATATTTTGTATCATTGATACAATTATAGCTTTACTACATGTCTGTTCGTTGTGTGACAATAATAATGATAAAATTTATTGATAAAAGGGCTGTATTTTTAGGTATAAATTTTAATCCTTATGTACATTGATCACATAAATATTGTTTTTTGTTAAGAAATATATCAATACATTATTTGTTATAATCAGCTTCATCAAGCCATTTGTATAGATACATATGTACATTGACATAACTGCTCAGTTGTATCTCTGTTAGATCCATTCTAGATGATTCCCTGTAAAGCCCAGTTCACACAGTCTGCCCTACTTGTCAGTCTGTCCACCTAGTCAGTCTGTTCACCTATCTGCCCACACAGTCAGTCTGTTCACCCAGCCTGTTTGTTCATCCAGTCTGTCTGTGTATGGAGTGGCCAGATAAGATTAAATTGTTTTGCTTTTATAACTAGTTTCCTGTAAACATTGGTAAATATTTGGCTGGGTCGTTTCAGTTAAACTGTATGGTGGCTTCCACTCCAGATATCCGACTCAGACTGCAGGTCAACAGCTCCTACCACCTTCTCAGGGTGCCTCTTAAGCCATTCAGCGACAGACACAATTTGTAGCAGATATTTGTTCAGTGCTGGACGAGCTGCCTAATAAACTCCAACGGATGGGCCCTGCCTGTGCAGCACTTGCATTTTGTCAAGTGTTCAGTTGTCATGGGATATTGCCCATCATAAGATCTTACTTGCCTTCATCACACTTCATCACAAGACATTGTACATTGTACCCTCCCCCCATCCAGTGTGGATTGCTCAACTGTCCAAGCTAAGGAAAAACAAAGAACTGTTTTGTGAACAAATCAAATGCAGTCTTATGGAGACGAGACTGAACAATTCAAATCAAAGGGAAGAACATTTAGTTTATTCAAAATAGTGCATCTAATTTTAGCCCCCCCCACTACCACTCTCAACATCCCCATACAGCCTACTGACATCAACACCCCTCCAGCCACCCCACCTGGAATACAATGGAAACATCTAAAAAAAATTCCCTGTTTGAAAGACACCCCCTCACCTCACTCGGCTGGTTGGCCACAATCACCAGATGGCGTGTGTGGTATTTTAGACTTATGAAAGCAACAAAGCCCCTATAGAGAAAGACAAACCAAAAATAAAAATTACTGGACAATTGCACATCTTGTTTTATCATGTAGTTTTATTGACATTTATGTAGCATGTAATGACATCATTGTCAGCCATTGTCAATGACAAACATTTTTTTTTTATAATGTTAATAGAATAAAACAATTTGAAATGTAGCAACTGAAATATTTGAATTGTTTTTAATAAAACATGGGAAACTAAGACAATCTTGAATCCCACCGTTACTGTTGCACTAGAGTAACACATGGGAGGGGGTAAAGGTTAAGAAATGCAATAACATTCTTCGAATGCAGGATGTTAATCATATCCAGCCACAGGCCTACTTGTTATTTTGTGTTGGTAGCAGACCCGGGCTGAAAGAGAAACAAGAAAATTGCAATGACACAATAATTGCCAGGGAAGGTTTTGTTTGGTTTCCGAATGATCGTTGTTTTTATTTAATTCAAAAATAAAAAATCTAAAATAAAAAGTTGTAAACAAAAGGGTTCATCAACGGGACCAAGGGAAGCAAGCATGAAATCACGTTTAAGAACAGTTTAAAGTAATTTAAAGACTTTTTTCTTTAAATAGATTTTAGGACATCAGAGCGCTGTGAGCGTGCTAAAATAGCATAGAAACACTCAAACAAACGCTATAAAAGTACTCAATCATCATCATCAAATGATTTGGGTGGTCTCTCTCAAGCAGATAAATAGAAAACAGTATGGACGGCCGCACCAAGAAAGTTCACTAAACACCTTAGCTCCGCGATAACGGATTGATGGAAGTAAACGATTGGTCACTGACTTTCGCCTATTGTCACGCCCCATACATTTAAATAATGGATTTTTGTTTTTTGGAAAGAAGTCCTCTCCCCCCCCCCCCTCCTTTTTTTACAATGTTTTTTTTGCCCCAGCCCATCTAACGTGGGGTCGCCATTTGAACAAAGCTGATGCCTTCAGCAAATATCCCATTTTTGAACCAATTTGAGACTCTCTGAATAAATCTGAGGGTGGGATTCGCCTATTGTCACGCCCCATACATTTAAATAATGGATTTTTGTTTTTTGGAAAGAAGTCCTCTCCCCCCCCCCCCTCCTTTTTTTACAATGTTATTTTTGCCCCAGCCCATCTAACGTGGCGTCGCCATTTGAACAAAGCTGATGCCTTCAGCAAATATCCCATTTCTGAACCAATTTGAGACTCTCTGAATACATCTGAGGGTGGGGGTGGGCAAAGGTTTATTTTTGTTGTTTTGTTTGTGGGCTGGTCTCAAAACTTCAAGCAATATCCCGGGCCGGTAACAATCCTAGAGTCAATGGGATGAAAGAATGCCTGCATAACGATACTCATCTATGGACGTTAATGGCAGAAGTCAAAGTTCTTCTTTTTTTTTAAATTCGCCAAAGATCCTTTCGAAATCTCCCCGTTTTGTCGAGGTTGCAGTTTACAGAAAAGCGACAAAATACTGACCGTCATCTGCTAATGCTGACCGGTCTTATTCTGCTATTTGATAGAAAAAGTTTGTTCACACACATGCATCGATGCAAACATCACCACTGATCTCTTTGATGAGTTCAGAAACGTGTTCTTAATAATTGATTTAAAATAAATCTGGACGTAACGTAATAAAGTGTCTTAACCCTACAAGGCTGTACAACTCTGAATTATAGCAAAGTGGCCGATTTCGTCTAAGTACATTTGAAATGGCTTGAACAATATTAATGAATAAACATAAAAGGTGAAGTTTACCCGATAGGACTAGCGATCTCACCAGCACGAATTTGACCACATCATGTTTCATGTCTGTTAATAAATTATGATAAGCTATAGCGGAGTCCTTACTTTATTTAAGTCCGACTTCCGTCGTGTGCTGTTGTGAGACGCTTTCAGAGATCGGTGCGAGGTTGGAGACTGGGACTTCGAGTTCTCTCCCTTCTCCTCCTGAGCAGACAAGGGGGGGACCTGATGTTTCTTGGCGGCCAGCGCCGCCTCGGACGGTCGGGGAGTGTCCGAGTACTGCGACTTCTTCAGGGTGACCGGCGTCTCTTCCGTGTACACCGAGGTGGACGTTCTGCCACTGGACCGGCTCTCAGACCTGGACATTTTGCTGGACACCGTGGTGGCGTCCGACAGTTTCTGGACGGTTTCCGGAGTCCATGGTTTCTTCCACGGGAACTTCTCTCCCCTGGGGTCCAGCATCACAATCTCTCGCCCGTTCAGAGTCGTGGGTTTAAAGGTCGCTGCGTCCAGAAATAACAAAACGGGAATTCCCTTGATTCCGAACTCTTCAGCCACCTCCTCCTGAAATCAAAGACTACTTTAGAAACATTTCCTGAAATGAGATTTGGCTTGAAAGAACTAACCGCATACGATAGAGTGTATGCTGAGCCGACGTTTTGCGTACACGTAAGTACGGATGTTTGATGCGGCATAAAACTGTATGTGTTTGAATTTAGCCTAAAGAAGGGATGATTGTAAACAGTTCATAAAAAAACCCAAAAAACTCTTAGCTAAGGGCAAATAAGGCAATGCGCTTCTGTGTAATAACTTCAATTTACATAAGGCAATGCGCTTCTGTGTAATAACTTCAATTTACATAAGGCAATGCGCTTCTGTGTAATAACTTCAATTTACATAAGGCAATGCGCTTCTGTGTAATAACTTCAATTTACATAAGGCAATGCGCTTCTGTGTAATAACTTCAATTTACATAAGGCAATGCGCTTCTGTGTAATAACTTCAATTTACATAAGGCAATGCGCTTCTGTGTAATAACTTCAATTTACATAAGGCAATGCGCTTCTGTGTAATAACTTCAATTTACATAAGGCAATGCGCTTCTGTGTAATAACTTCAATTTACATAAGGCAATGCGCTTCTGTGTAATAACTTCAATTTACATAAGGCAATGCGCTTCTGTGTAATAACTTCAATTTACATAAGGCAATGCGCTTCTGTGTAATAACTTCAATTTACATAAGGCAATGCGCTTCTGTGTAATAACTTCAATTTACATAAGGCAATGCGCTTCTGAGTAATAACTTCAATTTACCTCCCGCCCTTCAACCATCGTTTCCAAAACTTTTATTTTCGTGACCCGAGTTATTTTCATACTTCTCCTTCGTGATCCCCCCCCCCCCATCCTCCCATTACCATTTGTATCGCCCATGCTGGCACATCATTTGGTCACATGTAACCGACAGGAATGTCCGCACAGTTTTCCTATATCATAATAAAACATTTACCCACACAAGACTGTAAAGAAATCAAACTTACCAAAAATGTATTAATAAGTAGGCCTACGTCAAGATAATCTAACCTAGATTTTCAAAAGCTTTTTTTTTTTCGGCGACCCGATGATTTTGCTTTTATGGTCCGGTACCGGGTCGGGACCCGGCATTTGGAAAACGCTGCCCTGAACGACAGAAGTGTTGTGGTCTTATTTGACGGTTACCGGAAATTTGATCGAAAGAAATTTCGTCGACGGTAAATTGATCGACGGTAATTTGATCGAACGGAAATATGGTCGAATCTTTTTTTTCCGTTAGCACGTTAAAATTTTCGTCAAATTTCTTTTTGAACGCACTATACTATTTCGTAAAACAAAATAATTCGTCCAAAACGAAATTTGATGCAAAACTGTAACGTAAAAATAAAAAATAAGATTCGACCAAATTTCCGTTCGATCATATTACCGTCGACCATTTTACCGTCGACGAAATTTCTTTCGATCAAATTTCCGGATACGTTATTTGACGTGCACCTACCCGTTTGTCGGTTTCAGTGTAGTCGATGGCGCACCAGGGCATCTTGGCGAAGTACTCTTCATACGACTGCTGGTTGTAGTCGAAGCTGACAAAGACGACCTCGAACTTTCGACCCGCCTTCTTCACCTCGTCATACATGAGCGCCAAATGGGAGGTGAAGATCTTACACGGCGGGCACCAGTTGGCGGCGAAATATAATCCTGTGGATGGCGAAGTGGGGTGGGGTGGGGTGGGGGGTGGGGGTGGGGGTGGGGGTGGGCAAGTTAGAGTGTGAGAGTGATCCACTAAATGGGAAAGATAGAGAGTGAGAGTGATCCACTAAATGGGCAAGTTAGAGTGTGAGAATGATCCACTAAATGGGCAAGTGAGAGAGTGAGAGTGATCCACTAAATGGGCAAGTTAGAGAGTGAGAATGACCCACTAAATGGGCAAGTGAGAGAGTGAGAGTGATCCACTAAATGGGCAAGTTAGAGAGTGAGAGTGATCCATTAAATGGGCAAGTTAGAGAGTGAGAGTGATCCACTAAATGGGCAAGTTAGAGAGTGAGAGTGATCCACTAAATGGGCAAGATAGAGAGTAGAGTGATCCACTAAATGGGCAAGCTAGAGAGTGAGAGTGATCCACTAAATGGGCAAGTTAGAGAGGGAGAGTGATCCACTAAATGGGCAAGATAGAGAGTGAGAGTGATCCACTAAATGGGCAAGTTAGAGAGTGAGAGTGATCCAATAAATGGGCAAGATAGAGAGTAGAGTGATCCACTAAATGGGCAAGTTAGAGAGTAGAGTGATCAACTAAATGGGCAAGTTAGAGAGTGAGAGTGATCAACTAAATGGGCAAGTTAGAGAGTGAGAGTGATCCACTAAATGGGCAAGATAGAGAGTAGAGTGATCAACTAAATGGGCAAGTTAGAGAGTGAGAGTGATCCAATAAATGGGCAAGATAGAGAGTAGAGTGATCAACTAAATGGGCAAGTTAGAGAGTAGAGTGATCAACTAAATGGGCAAGTTAGAGAGTAGAGTGATCAACTAAATGGGAAAGTTAGAGAGTGAGAGTGATCCACTAAATGGGCAAGATAGAGAGTAGAGTGATCAACTAAATGGGCAAGATAGAGAGTAGAGTGATCAACTAAATGGGCAAGATAGAGAGTAGAGTGATCAACTAAATGGGCAAGTTAGAGAGTAGAGTGATCAACTAAATGGGCAAGATAGAGAGTGAGAGTGATCCACTAAATGGGCAAGATAGAGAGTAGAGTGATCAACTAAATGGGCAAGTTAGAGAGTGAGAGTGATCCAATAAATGGGCAAGATAGAGAGTAGAGTGATCCACTAAATGGGCAAGTTAGAG